TGGCCAATCACTTCAAGGGAAACGTAATATAACTAATAATATAGCTATGCCTAAGTTAGTTAAAATAACTCGATTTAATAGTAAAGCTAAAACGAGGCAATAATCAATTTAGTGAGAACAAGAAAGATGATGTTATTCAGCTGTTCAGCCATCGTGGGAACCAACTAACGTTATTATTACAAGTTGAAACCTTTAGTACATTGAAAATGGTGTTACTGAATAAAATGCACTCATTGCGGAGCTTTTGTTCAGTCAAACACACAAAAAAGCATAAATGTAGAAGAATACAATGTTTCAGGTGATCATAAAACAGGAATGAACATTGTTTATAATCAGGTAAACGTTGGTTAGCCTAGCTAGCTATCAAATAATTGCAATGAATGTGGCTAGCTAAGTTACATGGCCAAAACCAAGGACAATCATTGCTTGCAAACATGAACTGCTTTGCGACATAAGACAACATCAGGAATATTAGCAAAGGAAGGAAAACAAAGTGAACAGTTGCATTTGATACGTTAACAGGTTTAGTTAGCACAGAATTTATGTTGATGGCGTTATGATCCTGAAAGACAGCAAGCAATCCAATGTGTGTTTCAACTAAAACATTTAAAATACATAATTAAATCAACCCATAATACACATTTAACATGACTAAACCACTCACCTAGTGAGACATTCCAACCCAGTACGAACAAAGTATCCTCCTGTGTTGTCTGCAGATCTTCGAGTATTCCAACATCAAATCGAACAAGACCAGTAGGCCTCCAACTCGGCCTCGGAGTCTCCTGTATCCTTTGCCCCCCAAGATAGCTCCCTCTTCTGGGGTAGGAAACAAACTTCTAAATGTCCCCCACGCAAAGGTTGAAGGTTTAATTCCCTGTCCTGCTTGGGCACCGTATTTCCATCGAGTGTATATGTTGAATCCCTGGTGTTTTAATCCATTTATTATGGTGTTGTATATGATTTACAATTGATATTTATAAAGGGGTATATGCTGCTCTATGTGGTAGTACTATAGGGCGATGATTCTGTCTCGGTTCCTAACATTCGCAGTGGCGCCCATCCCCCTCCTCACCGGCATCGACCGCGGGTCCCAGCGAAACTGTCTGACACACAACCATGCCACGGGGTTTCACATGCGATGATGCAGGGGCTCATTACTAGGCCGGGTTTTGCACTGATGTCCTGCCTCCTATATATTATTGGTCAGTGAAGTGCCAGTCAAAGGATACAATTGCTGTACGAGCAAGCCATTGGTCAAATAGGGCGCAGAATGTTGCTGTTGTCTACACCAAGAGGGCGTGACGTTTTTCTAGGAAGGGGTGTTGAAGCGCATTCGGATTCTGCCATGTGTAGTTGTGGCACACAGGAGTGAGCGCAAGTGGCGGTAGAATGGATGGATTCGGGAGAGAATTTGATACAAAAAGCGGACCCGTGTCTACAATATGGGGGAAATGCTCAAGTAATTAAATGAAAAGGCCTTGGATTTATTTGATTCTTTTATAGAGGGATTATATTGCTTGAATGTCTTTTTTATTTATGTGTATTCTCAACGCAAAGGGAAAAAGCCTTCGTTTACATACCGATACAGAGTAGCCAACTTTAGCTACACGGGGTCTCCGGTGCCCCATACCAGGGAATACGACAGAGGTCAGCCCCACCTAAAGTGTCATGAATGGAATATGATGTGTCGCTCTTGTAGGATCTGGCAAGGGATTGGACAGGGAAATTGACCAGGGTTGTTTCTATTACCTTTGGTCCCTCCTACTGAGCAGTCCGAATTCAATCTCTGCACTCTTGAGAGGGGATAGCCAAGGACACACGCTTGACGAAAATTCCATCTATTCGAATGGCTCGTCCTTATCAATGAGGGAGTTTTGGCGACAAGAAGAATAGGCTTTTCATGTATGTGATCAGATCGTATTTTATTATAAACATCAAAATTCGATAGCGGTTTTGGAAGAAATATACTTTTCTTTCGATTAGAGATTTTAGGCTACATTCTACTGTTCACGTTTGACCATTTTTACGAGCATATGCAAAGAATGGATTAAGTGTTAAATATTCCGCTTCCATTATCCTTCATTGGTTAAAAAAATAATAATGCCTTTGAGGATGAATAGATATAATTAAGCTTACATGCGATTGGCTTCTTTATTTCTTGTCATGTACCTGAGAATAATTGGGATTGGCTAAAGTGGTAAATGCTAACGTTATTTGTTGCAATGGTCCGAGGTGCGGAGACGGCTGCACGATAGAACGCTGTTGTTTCACGCTTCTAAAATGTATACATTGTTCATTTTACTCAGATATATTCTAGCCTATCCAATGCATTTTTGACAGTACGGAACAAATGTAACCACAAGCACACAAATTACATTTTAGTGAATAGAACTGATCAATTCTAGTCCTTACATACGTAGTATATTTCGGCTTGATGAAAATTAAGATTGTGAACTGAATAAATCAAGGATTCATTCTGTTTTGGCTTTTTGAATACTACATAGATCTCTGAGGTCCCAGCTCCTTTATATATGCCACTGGCCTCTTCTGTAATACTGCTCAATCGTATGGAATGTTCCAACATACATACATTTGAAAATCTACATTTTGGTTTTAGGAGGGGCTTGTTATTCATCGCTTAGGCTGAATTGGGGGAAGGAAAGACCAGCCCTACATTCTTGACGTAATTTGCACAGGCTCTGTTTATTTATGTATTTGGTTTCCCTGCTCTGCTGATATAGATCGATCATGATACCTTATCATGTCGGAAACTCCGAAATGTCCGACTTGCTAACCTAGGCGGAAGAGTCGAATCCAGAGTTTCCCACTTGTGAGGTACCAGAATTAATTGGAAGCTCTACGCAAATAATTTAGGTTAATTTTAACTCGGAGGTCCCGAGTTTCCGACAAGACGAGAACGCGGCATTACTTGTCAAGGGTAGCTCGCTAGCTACTGGGAAAAATACACGTGAACGCCCCTGTAACTCGTAATTACGACTAGGAAACTCAGGTATAATCTCATGGACAACGATCTTTCCCACATGATGGCCGCGATTTCGGCCGTCAATGGTGAGATTGGTTATTGCGTTCGTGAACGGTCCAAGTCATTCCTCCAATCAATCCGACATGACGTGAACGCGGCAGCCATTAGACAGACGCTGTGGCGCACGTCAACCGTAACAAGTGGACTTCTATAGTCAAAGAGCTCATGAGAATGCATTCTGACACTGATATAACAGAAGAATTACACAACTAACAAAAGCATTTCACACTAGTTTCCAAGTTATTTCCACCCTCTTATAAACCGATAGGTTGTTTTCTATAGAATGTTCTTGGGAAGTTGGATTCCTGTACAGACAACATAATGTTTGTTCTGTGGTCCGTTCTACACTGAAGCTGTCTGCTTCAATACTTCTATTGTGTAATAGCTGTGAACAGGCTACATACACTGCTCAAAAAAATAAAGGGAACACTTAAACAACACAATGTAACTCCAAGTCAATCACACTTCTGTGAAATCAAACTGTCCACTTAGGAAGCAACACTGATTGACAATACATTTCACATGCTGTTGTGCAAATGGCATAGACAACAGGTGGAAATTATAGGCAATTAGCAAGACACCCCCAATAAAGGACTGCTTTTGCATGTGGTGACCACAGACCACTTCTCAGTTCCTATGCTTCCTGGCTGATGTTTTGGTCACTTTTGAATGCTGGCGGTGCTTTCACCCTAGTGGTAGCATGAGATGGAGTCTACAACCCACACAAGTGGCTCAGGTAGTGCAGCTCATCCAGGATGGCACATCAATGCGAGCTGTGGCAAGAAGGTTTGCTGTGTCTGTCAGCGTAGTGTCCAGAGCATGGAGGCGCTACCAGGAGACAGGCCAGTACATCAGGAGACGTGGAGGAGGCCGTAGGAGGGCAACAACCCAGCAGCAGGACTGCTACCTCCACCTTTGTGCTAGGAGGAGCAGGAGGAGCACTGCCAGAGCCCTGCAAAATGACCTCCAGCAGGCCACAAATGTGCATGTGTCTGCTCAAACGGTCAGAAACAGACTCCATGAGGGTGGTATGAGGGCCCGAAGTCCACAGGTGGGGGTTGTGCTTACAGCCCAACACCGTGCAGGACGTTTGGCATTTGCCAGAGAACACCAAGATTGGCAAATTCGCCACTGGCGCCCTGTGCTCTTCACAGATGAAAGCAGGTTCACACTGAGCATGTGACAGACGTGACAGTCTAGAGACGCTGTGGAGAACGTTCTGCTGCCTGCAACATCCTCCAGCATGACCGGTTTGGCGGTGGGTCAGTCATGGTGTGGGGTGGCATTTCTTTGGGGGGCCGCACATCCCTCCATGTGCTCGCCAGAGGTAGCCTGACTGCCATTAGGTACCGAGATGAGATCCTCAGACCCCTTGTGAGACCATATGCTGGTGTGGTTGGCCCTGGGTTCCTCCTAATGCAAGACAATGCTAGACCTCATGTGGCTGGAGTGTCAGCAGTTCCTGCAAGAGGAAGGCATTGATGCTATGGACTGGCCCGCCCGTTCCCCAGACCTGAATCCAATTGAGCACATCTGGGACATCATGTCTCGCTCCATCCACCAACGCCACGTTGCACCACAGACTGTCCAGGAGTTGGCGGATGCTTTAGTCCAGGTCTGGGAGGAGATCCCTCAGGAGACCATACGCCACCTCATCAGGAGCATGCCCAGGCGTTGTAGGGAGGTCATACAGGCACGTGGAGGCCACACACACTACTGAGCCTCATTTTGACTTGTTTTAAGGACATTACATCAAAGTTGGATCAGCCTGTAGTGTGGTTTTCCACTTTAATTTTGAGGGTGACTCCAAATCCTCCATGGGTTGATAAATTTGATTTCCATTGATCATTTTTGTGTGATTTTGTTGACAGCACATTCAACTATGTAAAGAAAAAAGTATTTAATAAGATTATTTCATTCATTCAGATCTAGGATGTGTTATTTTAGTGTTCCCTTTATTTTTTTGAGCAGTGTATATCAATAGTCATGTCACATTGCCATTGGTCACCTAACCAAGCAATAGCCCCCGGAACTCTCCCCGCCCAGGGCAGAACTTGCTTTTAATAATATTAAACAAATCATTGCAAAGTCATTGTACCATATGACATTTTCATGTTGGGGTATAAATGTTATTCACAAAACATGAAAGTATAATACCGGTAAAAAACAATCACTTCACTTGGTCAGGAGTAATTTTTAATAGTCTCCTTGGTTTTAAAACGGGAACAAATTGTTGTGTAACACAGGAAGGTATCAAAGTGCTAACAAAATAAAAAATGTTTGTTGCCATGGGGTTTTGCATGGTCTCAACACAAAGGGAAAAAAAACATTTTCCAGCATAACTGTTACATGCATGTCATGTCAGTAACATTGAAATAATAACACCATTCCATATTTAGTAAGACTTCAGAGCCATATGGTCCCAAATGGCATCATGCTCACAAAATACAATTCCTTTTTGCTTAAGTAATGAACAATTAGTTGTTTTAACAGAAACATACAACATATCCTAGGCATCTGGTTGTCCAATGCTTAAATCTGTAAGTGCAAGAATCTATCATTTTTATTTATTTAAATGCAGTTCTTAAAATGTTATCCTGTAATTGCTACTCCATCTTAAATCTATGTACTGTTTTGGTAGAAGTCATAGCTCAACCATTTAGCTAGCCATCTTTTAGACTACCTCGTAGAGAAAGATAACACATTTACCCTCAAAGCAGTTTAAAATTACACAAAACATTTCACTTGTGTAAACCATTAATAAATCAGCTAGAGTACATGTGCTTGGGCACTGTGCAAGCACAGTAGCTTATTTTAACCCATACAATGAGTTCCTCACACTTATTTTTACACCAAACCCCCAAGTCCAGGAATTATAACTCAGAGCAAGCCTCGAGTCGACCTTATACTTTTTTTCAAGAACAGAAAATGGAGGGGGGAAAAAGTCCACCAACAATGTTAAAAAAATCCAACAGTGATTGTGCGAAATGTTGAGGATGGCACGCAACCGATTATATATGGCCTGAACGGATGCACATAAACTTAATGTACGGCCATTTAACGTCAGTATGTAGTGTTATCATTTCTAAGGGGCGGGGTCTTCGGGAGAGAATGTTGCATACATACAGGTGTATACATTTACACATTAGTTTACACATCGAAGTAATAGTAAAGGTGTCAGTAAACACTCCTTATTGACAAGCAGTAACTTTCACAGGAAGATCCTACATCTAAAAAGGATTTCATTACAATTATATATTTTGCTGCTTGAATTACAATAACAGTATTTAACAAATCACCAACACACTAGGTTCTATCCTTGATTTTCTTTTCAATACACCAAATCATATTTTAAATTGGGAGACAAAATTATGGGATGTCATGAACTTTCACCTTCATAAAAATTGGATACCATTCTCTCATACAGTAATGGCCATCCCCCCTTAACTAGCAAAACACTCCAATCCCAAAAAATCTAAAAAGTTGACACTAAAAGTTGTTCAAACTGCCTTCAACATTGTCGGTTCGAGTAACTAGTCCCTTCCTCTCGACATGAGCAGCTCTCCATACATCTCTTCTCCAGTCAGTGGCTCGAACAGGGAACAGGGGAAAAAAATGGCTGAATGTTCATCTTGGTAGTTGGGGTCATGTCTGGTTGTTTTACTCTTTTTTTCAGTTTTTTGTTTTGTTACGTTGTTGTTGCGCGCTTGCATGCCGAGACCCTTCTGCTGTTAGGGGATGCTGCCCTCTGCTGGTTGCCTCTGTGGCATTGCACGGCCCTGCACCTCCACAGCTGGTTTAGTCCCTCAGAGCAGTTTCAGACTTCCAGTGACATTGTTCACCATCTCCTCCTCCCCAACGATGGCCAGGACAGTGCGTGAGCCGGCTTCCACCTGCCAAAAGGCCAGAGGTCATAGAATTTAGACTAGCATCCTTGTGGGTGGAGTGGAGGGTAGGAATAGGTTTCACTCGCAACAACAAAGGTGGGTGGGAAGGCATGGAAGGCTAGGCATTACATTTATTGGAATAACTCAGTAATTTGCTATTAAATGAGAAGTTTACCCAAAATCCAGAAACTCCCAAGTGATTCCTTACATTGAAACTAGTTCAGTGGAGTTTCCCCCCTCTCTCCCTGTAGTGCTGTACTGAAACAGCTGCAAAAACAGGTCACATGACTCCTGACGTTGCTGGATGCAGGCCTCTCTCTGCTCCGTTGCCACAATGTCTATTGTCTCACAAACCCCCAGTCATAAATACATATATGACACATATGCTAACCTGTAGAGCACCTAGGCACTCTACATGATATTGCGCAATGGTAATAACACAGTAAGAACACCTCAAACATCATGCTAGGCTACATACCTCCACACGCTTGCTTTGTCGAGTTCTCTTCTCAAACGCGCCTTGGTATTTTGGCACTGTGCCAGATCCAGTCCATGGAAATACAGTAGCATCAGCTGTATCTTTTAGCATCCTTCTGTTTTCTTTCTCCATAAATTCACATTGCATATCTCGTTCATATGCAATGTCGCTGAAGCGCTTGCTATACAGACGTAGCGAAGTTCCTCTGCGTACACATCACTGACAATCTGAAATGGTCACAGCGCCTCGAACCTCAGGAGGCTGAAGAAATTTGGCTTGGCCCCTAAGACCCTCAAACATTTACAGATGCACAATTGAGAGCATCTTGTCGGGCTATATCACCGCCTGGTACGGCAACTGCACCGACCGCAACTGCAGGGCTCTCCAGAGAGTGGTTCATTCTGCCCATCACATCACCGAGGGCACACTGCCCGCCCTCCAGGACATCTACAGCACCCAATGTCACAGGAAAGCCAAAAAGATCAAGGACATCAACCACCCAAGCCACGGCCTATTCACTCCACTATCATCCAGAAGGCGAAGTCAGTACAGGTGCATGGGACCGAGAGAATGAAGCAGTTTCCATCTCAAGGCCATCTGACTGTTAAATAGCCATCACTAGCCCGCTACCACCCGGTTACTCAACCCTGCACCTTAGAGGCTGCTGCCCTGTGTACATAGACATGGAATCACATCTGCTAAATATGTGTATGTGACCAATAACATTTGATGGTTGGCTGCAGGAGTATTCACATTGTATTTACTATTTCGAATTGCTATTAACCACCTTCTGCATCACGTCGTATCTTTTATCTTCCCTTGATTTCCTGTATAAAGTGCTGCTAGGGCCGGACTCCATTTTGCTATTGCTGACATCTCCTTTTCCTCTTTGCATAACTAACTTTACCTGGACAAATATTTTCACCCGCGCTCTCACTATTAAAGGCCCAGTGCACTACTTTTGTGAATAAAGTAAATATATATAATTTATTTATTTATTGTGAATTTAGGAATAGCTGCAGCACCCCTACTTTGCACCAGCAAAAGAGCAGAAGTAAAATAAAATAACAGTAGGGAGGCTATATACAGGGGGGTACCGGTGCAGAGTCAATGTGCGGGGGCACCGGCTAGTTGAGGTAGTTGAGTTAATATGTACATGGGTGGGTAAAGTTAAAGTGACTATGCATAAATAATTAACAGAGTAGCAGCAGCGTAAAAAGGATGGGGTGGGGGGGCAGTGCAAATAGTCCGGGTAGCCATGATTAGCTGTTCAGGAGTATTATGGCTTGGGGGTAGAAGCTGTTGAGAAGCTTTTTGGACCTAGACTTGGTGCTCCGGTACCGCTTGCCGTGCGGTAGCAGAGAGAACAGTCTATGACTAGGGTGGCTGGAGTCTTTGACAATTTTGAGGGCCTTCCTGACACTGCCTGTTATAGAGGTCCTGGATAGCAGGAAGCTTGGCCCCAGTGATGTATTGGGCTGTACGCACTACCCTCTGTAGTGCCTTGCAGTCAGAGGCAGAGCAGTTGCCATACCAGGCGGTGATGCAACCAGTCAGGATGCTCTCGATGGTGCAGTTGTATAACTTTGAGGATCTGAGGACCCATGCCAAATCTTTTCAGTCTCCTGAGGGGGAATAGGCTTTGTCGTGCCCTCTTCACAACTGTCTTGGTGTGTTTGGACCATGATAGTTCGTTGGTGATGTGGACACCAAGGAACTTCAAGCTCTCAACCTGTTCCACTACAGCTTCGTCGATGAAAATGGGGGCGTGCTCAGTCCTCTTTTTCTCCTGTAGTCCACAATCATCTCCTTTGTCTTGGTCACGTTGAGGGAGAGGTTGTTATCCTGGCACCACACGGCCAGGTCTCTGACCTCCTCCCTATAGGCTGTCTCATCGTTGTCGGTGATCAGGCCTACCACGTGTTGTCGGCAAACTTGGTGTTGGAGTCGTGCCTGGCCATGCAGTCATGGGTGAACAGGGAGTACACGAGGGGACTGAGCATGCACCCCTGAGGGGCCCCCGTGTTGAGGATCAGCGTGGCAGATGTGTTGTTACCTACCCTTACCACCTGGGGGTGGCCCGTCAGGAAGTCCAGGATCCAGTTGCAGAGGGAGGTGTTTAGTCCCAGGATCCTTAGCTTAGTGATGAGCTTTGAGGGCACTATGGTGTTGAATGCTGAGCTGTAGTCAATGAATAGCATTCTCACGTAGGTGTTCCTCTTGTCCAGTTGGGAAAGGGCAGTGTGGAGTGCAAGAGAGATTGCATCATCTGTGGATCTGTTGGGGCGGTATGCAAATTGGAGTGGGTCTAGGGTTTCTGGGATAATGGTGTTGATGTGAGCCTTGACCAGCCTTTCAAAGCACTTCATGGCTACAGACGTCAGTGCTACGGGTCGGTAGTCATTTAGCCAGGTTATCTTAGAGTCCTTGGGCACGGGGACTATGGTGGTCTGCTTGAAACATGTTGGTATTACAGACTCAGTCAGGGACATGTTGAAAATGTCGGTGAAGACACTTGCCAGTTGGTCAGCACATGCTCGGAGTACACGTCCTGGTAATCCGTCTGGCCCTGAGGCCTTGTGAATGTTGACCTGCTTAAAAGTCTTACTCACATCGGCTACGGAGAGCGGTGATCACATAGTCATCCGGAACAGCTGGTGCTCTCATGCATGTTCAGTGTTGCTTGCCTCGAAGCGAGCATAGAAGTGGTTTAGCTCGTCTGGTAGGCTTGTGTCACTGGGCAGCTTGCAGTCGTGCTTCCCTTTGTAGTCTGTAATAGTTTTCACGTCCTGCCACATCCGACGAGCGTCAGAGCCGGTGTAGTACGATTCAATCTTAGTCCTGTATTGACTCTTTGCCTGTTTGATGGTTCGTCGGAGGGCATAGCGGGATTTCTTATAAGCGTCCGGGTTACAGTCCCGCTCCTTGAAAGCGGCAGCTCTACCCTTTAGCTCAGTGCGGATGTTGCCTGTAATCCATGGCTTCTGGTTGGGGTATGTACGTACGGTCACTGTGGGGACGACGTCGTCAATGCACTTATTGATGAAGCCAGTGACTGATGTGGTGTACTCCTCAATGCTATCTGAAGAATCCCGGAACATGTTCCAGTCTGTGCAAGCAAAACAGTCCTGTAGCTTAGCATCTGCGTCATCTGACCACTTTTTTATTAACAGAGTCCCTGGTGCTTCTTGTAGTCTTCAAGGATTACTTTGTGTGAACTTCTGTGGTAGTGTAAAAGGGCCTTAACTAATCATTACGTATCAAAACATTATCAGGGGCACTGCGACCTGTATGAATGAGTCAATGTTTGCCAAGGTTAGCATATGTCAACAAATTCAAACTATGTGCAGAGACCTGCCAACCGGCAGTTGACCTATTTAGTGTTTATGTACAGTTTATAAAGGATGTTATGGGGTGACCTTCATAGAGTATTGACAACCATTTTTAATTGGCTGTTGCAATCTTTGTCAACAAGTTATTTTTTTTGTGAGTCTTTGTGAACGCATCCGGCCCTCAAGTGTCATTTTACGGTTTCACTTTGCAATGGTTTTGTATCAAAGTGTGAAACGCTTACCTACCTAATCCCAGTCATCATTAAGCTGTGTTAAACTACGCGAACACGGCCCGCCCTGCCAAATTGTTCTCTTCAAAATACTGCTTTCTGAACAACATGCAGCCACAGCAGTGTAAACAGTACCGTCTATAGCATTGGCAGCCCTGCTGATAGTCAAACTCAATAATTATAATGGCTGTGCGTGTCCCTGTAAGCAGGTGCTATAGAGTTACGTGGAACCGTAATGGCGGTGTGCGCGCCTGTGATACCATGGAACCGTAATGGCGGTGTGCGCGCCTGTGATACCATGGAGCTGTAATGGTGGTGTGCGCGCCTCTGATACCATGGAGCTGTAATGGTGGTGTGCGCGCCTGTGATACCATGGAGCCATAATGGCGGTGTGCGCGCCTGTGATACCATGGAGCTGTAATGGTGGTGTGCGCGCCTTTGATACCATGGAGCCATAATGGCGGTGTGCGCGCCTGTGATACCATGGAGCCGTAATGGCGGTGTGCGCGCCTGTGATACCATGGAGCCATAATGGCGGTGTGCGCGCCTGTGATACAATGGAGCCATAATGAAGGTGTGCGCGCCTGTGATACCATGGAGCTGTAATGGTGGTGTGCGCGCCTGTGATACCATGGAGCTGTAATGGTGGTGTGCGCGCCTGTGATACCATGGAGCCATAATGGCGGTGTGCGCGCCTGTGATACCATGGAGCTGTAATGGTGGTGTGCGCGCCTGTGATACCATGGAACCGTAATGGCGGTGTGCGCGCCTGTGATACCATGGAACTGTAATGGTGGTGTGCGCGCCTGTGATACCATGGAGCTGTAATGGTGGTGCTGTGCGCCCATAAGCAGGTGCAGCAGTGTAGCCGCAATGGCGGCGCGTCTCACCTGGGTGCGTCCGGCATCCTGAACCAGGTACGTGGGCAGGCTGAGGCTCATGGCCAGGGCCTGCAGCTCCAAAAGGTGGGCCATGTTGGTCCCCTGCACCACCACCTTCTTCGCCCTGCACACCACACAAACACACATTTAGATACCCTGCTGTGCATACTGTAGAACAGCCAGATGGTGGCATTGCCATTACCAGACGTCATTATGGTGTTTTAAAAGCATCCGGCTGTTTTTATCTGATCCAAATTGATCAGCAGTATGAAGTCTCAAGTAAAGCCCTAGTGAGGAAGTGGTCCGGTCCTTACCCGCCATGGTCCCACTTCCAGGCCATCTCCCTCCAGCTGTTCTTCTCCTGCAGGGCTTGGTAGAGCCCCACGGCCGCGTGGCCCACCTGCGCAGCCAGCTACACAACACACACCACAACACTTTCACAGTTAGCAGAAATGAAAAACAAACGTTTTTTATGCATCCGCTTTGCATTTGATGTGCTAGTCTCAACTTAAAACAATAGGGGCAAACTGTGCTTTTGTGCGCCAGGTTCACGCAAACTACACCAAAACAAGCATACTAGCTATACATAACACCACATTCCAATCCTTGTCCTTAAAGCTCAGACACACCGGTAGGATTGTCAAACGTTTGCCTGCTGACAGTACTTAGCACCTCTGAACAGTGCGTCAGCAGTCAATCTCTTTTGTTCACACAGCAAAGACCTTAAAGTAGTCAGCCACTCAGCAGAGTTGATGACTTAACTACCTACCAATTTTAACTAGCAAGATGACGAATATACAATTAAATTCACTCTCCATAATCCCATACTGCCAGTGCCAGCCATAGCCAAATGTTCAGCTAGCTAGCTAACGTTAGCATATTTGCTAGCTAGTGCAACATAGCTAGAGACACTGCACTAACAGGCAGCTGTTTCATGGAAACTAGCTAATCAATTGTGATTTAATTATGTCAATAATAGCTACAGTGGTTAGCTAGCTTGGATGAAATATTTAGCTATTGTGTGCACTGCATCTGTGCACTTAGCTAGCTACCATCCCATAGCCTACATTGCATTTGAAGTGTGACTGGCTCATCCGTGGATGTACGGAGAAAACTGCCTTTTTTCCTTTTTGTGGTCACTCCTGTTGGGGGTTCACATGGGGGTTTGTGCTCTCCAATTGGCTCAAAGTTGTTGGCCACGGACAAGCATTGCGAAGTAGAAACGTTAAGTTCGTAGTTACCGGGTCGGCACGCAGCAGGTACCGCTTTTGTTCTAGCAAGAGATGGAACGGCCTCCCACTGTGATAAGTACCTATCAGCAGTCAGACTCTCGTTGCGTTTTTCATGCTTCACACTGACCTTTCCCACACCCAGGGCCAGGTCCATGTTCACCACAAACACCATCTTGAACATGAGGTCGTCGTCTCCTTCCTCCTGAGGGACGAGAGAAAGAGGGCTCAGAGTCGATACAGGAGAGCTAATATACCAACTTGTACCTGTGCAAACTAAGGCTAGCTTATGGGCACCTCATTCTCCAGCTTGTTGAAGTAGTACATGGCAGCCTCCTCAGCAGACACATTTCGGGTGTGCAAGAGCGCCTGTGGGGGGGTAGACAAGGAACATTTCAGAAAATAAGGACTTTGAATGGGTCTGTATTGGGTGGATTAGCCAAAATCAATCATAAGTACAGTACTCTTTAATCATTATGAATGCATTAGTAAGTAGAGAAAGAGATAAGCGAACAGTGACATTATGAACCAAGAGGAAATTAGCCTAATATACTCAGATCATATATCAGGAAATGCAAGAGAACCTGTATACAGTAATTAACCCACTTGCTTGGCAGCCTCCTCAGGGATGTCCAGCTCTCGCAGCTGCTGCAGGTACACAGGGTTGACCTCCTGAGAGCCAGAGCCTGGGCCCATCTGCTGCTGCTCGGAGGGCTCCATAGTTAGCTGGAGCAGGACCACGTTGGATTAGAGTTACAGTTTAATACGCTGCAGCATACATTTTTTTTATGTACAGTACACCGTAGCATATTTATTTAACAGTTATGTTGTATAGAACCAGGTAGCTGGGTCTTGATCCCAAATTAACTTTGACTAGCACCAAATTTGTACTTTTGCTGCCCGTCTTTCCTGTACACCATGATGAATTATTGTGGTAGATTAGCTACTATGAAACATCTAAATACACTGAAAACAAATAAACGTGATGTGAAGTGTTGGTCCCATATTTCATGAGCTGAAATAAAAGATCCCAGAAATGTTCAAAGCGCACAAAAAGCTTCTAAAATGTTGTGCACATGCAATTGGCATGCTGACTGCAGGAATGTCCACCAGAGCTGATACCAGAGAACGTAATGTTAATTTATCTACCATAAGCCGCCTCCAACATTGTTTTACAGAATTTGGCAGTACGTCCAACCGGCCTCACAACTGCAGACCACGTGTAACCACGCCAGCCCAGGACCTCCAGATCCGGCTTCTTCACCTGCATGATTGTGTGAAACCAGCCACCCGGACAGCTGATGAAACTGTGGGTTTGCACAACCAAAGAATTTCTGCACAAACTGTCAGAAACCGTCTCAGGGAAGCTCATCTGCGTGCTCATCGTCCTCACCAGGGTCGTGAACTGACTTCAGTGGGCAAATGCTCACCTTCGATGGCCACTGGCACACGGGAGAAGAGTGCTCTTCACAGGTGAATCCCAGTTTCAACTGTACCGGGCAGATGGCAGACAGCGATTACGGCGTTGTGTGGGCGAGCGGTTTGCTGATGTCAACGTTGTGAACAGCGTGTCCCATGGTGGCGGTGGGGTTACGGTATTGGGAAGGTATAAGCTACGGACAACAAACAATTGCATTATATCGATGGCAACTTGAATGCACAGAGATACCGGGACGAGATCCTGAGGCCCATTGTTGTGCCATTCATCCGCCGCCATCACCTCATGTTTCAGCAAGATAATGCACAGCCCCATGTCGCAAGGATCTGTACACAATTCCTGGAAGCTGCATACTCACCAGACATGTCACACATTGAGCATGTTTGGGATGCTCTGGATCAACATGTATGACGGCATGTTCCAGTTCCAGCCAATATCAAGCAACTTCGCACAGCCATTGAAGAGTGGGACAATATTCCACAGGCCACAATCAACAGCCTGATCAACTTTATACTAAGGAGATGTTGCGCGCTGCATGAGGCAAATAGTGGTCACATCAGATACCAAAAAATAAAATAAAAAAAGGTATCTATTCCCAGTCATGTGAAATCCATTGATTAGGGCCTAATTTAATTATTTAAATTGACTGATTTCCTTATATTATCTGTAACTCAGTGAAATTGATACATATTGGTTCATATTTTTGTTCAGTTAAGTAAGGATCCAGCTAGTAGACTGGCCTCGAGGGCAGCCCTAGACAGCTAGTTAGCTAGGCATTGACACACCTCGAAGCTAGTTAGCCAAGTACTCTTCCTAGTAGTGAAGTGATATCCTAGTTAGCTACCTAAATCATAATTATGCTGATATCTTAATTACAATGATATCCTAGTTAGCTAGCTATCTGTAGACACGTTTGGTGGGTAGGTACACTAACGTTAGGTAGTTAGTCATTTAACTACTGTCTCGGTAATTGACTAAGGTTAGCCAGTTAACGTTAGTTAGCTAATCTCATAATATCATGACAGAGAAAATGATCTCCAAGTGGTAACTCGATTGTGGGATGACAGCTAGTTAGTTAACGATGATCACAAGACCAAGGTGAACTAGCTAGCTTGCTAGTTTATGCCAAACGGAAAACAAACCGTAGCTAACATTATAGCCAAGCTAAGATAGCTAGCAGGCATTCAACAATACTATTATTGAACAGTACGTTAGCTAACAGCTGATTGCATTTGCTATCTTGTAACATATTTTGTTTGTTAACTATGTATTATTTGATTTCCATGCAAGCTCTAACGTAGCTAGTTAGGCAATTTAGCTAAGTTAGCTTACTGTAAAGATTGCGCCAGCCACTCCTACCTGCGTTGCGTAGCTAGCTTGTTAACTACAATCCTTTGAATTAGTGGGATGGGAGTGCTTGCTTGCAAACCAATATCCACTCTCGCCTTTCACTGCGATGACGCCAAGTTGTTGACTGCAGATGACTTGTTAATTAAAAGATGTGCTTGTTGTGCTTTCACCTCTTTACACCATTTTGAGCAAGGTTCGCTCCTTTTTCGTTGTCCGCTACCGGATGGCGTCAGTTTTAAAATCCTCCTCACATCCGGTTCTACAAGAATAATAGATCGTGTGAAACAAAAGAGCATCAATTATTTCCTCCGTCAGAAGTTTCTAAACGTTTCCTAACAAAACTTCGTTGATAAATTTCCCCATGCATGTTGTTTAGGAACATGTTGACCGCCCATAAACTGATTTATGTTGCATATGGTGTGTGAAGAATTTAGGTAGAGATTATTTATGTTTCATGACTTGTTCTCAACTGGCTTACCTGGTTAAATAAAGGTTAAATAAATAAATAAAAAATGACTGAGTAAGTGAAAGGACACTGCTTTTGTCAGATTTGACTTTTCGTAGCAGGTTATGAGAACTTAAATAGCAGGTTAGGATAATTAACATTGCAGGTTAGGATAATTAGGTTAAGGTTAGGAAATTAGATAGGGTTAGCTAAAATAAAAAATCATTTCTAGCCATGACCGCCTTCCATTCCTCATTTCCTCGCACTGGTCTGAAAACAATAAAACAATATGGTGGATGTCTACCAATTTGCTCTCATATACTGCTCCAAGTATTTCATGTTAGTGCAGACAAAGGGAAGTAACAAGTAATAGACTGAAATTCCCTTCGCTTTAAATCTACTCCATATGAGACAGATGTAGATGAACACCATATGATTTCACAAATCCTTTATTACCTCACCATCTGTAGGAATTTACACTCTCTTATTAAACAGCAGATTAAGTCGCTACAACTTACATTATTAAATCATTATGTACAATTATATTAACAGACAAAATAAGAACCAACCTTAAAAAGTGCTCCTTGCAGAGCCTGCTCTACATAGCTGAATTTATACAGCCTAACAATAGTTAGTTTTTCCTTCAAATGACCTCCACCACCTGCTCTCTTCACCATCATTAGGCTTCATACTTAATACTTGACTACATTGAAAGCATATGACAATACAAATTGTCCATTCAAATGAGACATTAGTTGCATGTGGTAAGTAGTGTGATGTTTACCAATAGGCTACTATGACTCGTTTATGCTGTGCAATCAAGGGACAATGGCGGTGCACATGAAAAAGCATCAAACTGGAGAACCCACACAATAGCATGCAACTGATAAACTCCATACTTATGTTAAAAAAGGTGCCTCTTCGAAATGATTAGTTATCAAAACAGGAGGACAAAACTGACCATTTGATTGGGTTTTACAGTTAAATGACCAATCTGCCAACTCATTGTCAGCCTCTTCTTGGTTACTACTCACTAGAAAGCTAACAGTGCCTCTGCATGTAAATATATAGACTACCACAAGGGTGGTGTCAAACGTCTTCATCCATAAGTCTAAATCAGTTATGTGTCGTTAACATACATGCAACACCTCCAATTCGTGTGAAATTCGTTCTTGGTACATAGCTTTACCAAAAGATTTAATCACAACTTCAATAAACCATCATGCTCTGTGGGATATAATGATTAGTCTAGGTGTTTGTCCCAAATGTCATCATATTCCCTACATAGGGTACTTCTTTTGAATATAGCCATATGGGACCTGTTAAAAAGTAGTGCACTATTTAGGGAACAGGGTGCCATCTGGGATATATTGGATACACACTAGCGTTAGAAAATGACGCTATAGTGTGATAGAGAATGCAAAGGTGAGCAAATGATGAATAACACACACCATGGGGAAATCATAAGAAAACACATTTCGGTAAAGTTCAGAGATGGCAATGTGCTTTATAATCCTTATATTTAATCAAACGTTGCTTAATGTGACTAGGTCAAAGTATCTTCTGTGAAACTTCATGGACAGTTAATACAGAAGCGTTCAACAAATATAGGAGATGTTGCCATCTTGTGTTCAATAGAAGAACTGCAATACACATATCAACGGCGCAGTTGCAATTGTCAGATAAATAGGCTACCTCACAACAGCACAAACTGAGCTATCATGATTCAATAGACTTTTCTTGGTTGAAAACTAAAAAAGGAATGTTAAAAATGTACAACACAGAAAGCTGTACAAACGTACACCATAAAATACTGTGGGACATGTTTTAACTATATACAATTCTACAATTGAGATTTGTTTGTTTAATCTCTGATCTAGTGTCCCTCCAGTGACTGTTACACAAAAAGTAAAATAAACACAAAAAGTTTAAGTAAACCATTCACTCACACAGTCACCTATTTCCAGTACCTTTGAAAGACTGCATCTTTGCTTTCAGTACCATTCTTTCTTTTGTGCTGCAGCCTTTGTCTGAGAGCTGTTAATTTCAACTCTGACAATAATATTTTCCTCCCATTCAATTACATAAAGAGGAACAACACAGATGTGTATGGACTCGGGAGCTACCTGAAAAAGCGGAATGGCAATAATTACACATTTTTTTTAAACATAAAAAAAGAGAAGTCGTCTCAAGAGTGTCATGATTGAGTGAACTGTGTGTGTGTGTGTGTTTGTGTGTGTGTGTGTGTGTGTGTGTGTGCGCGCATGTGGCAATTGTCCACTACTCCGAAAGATACTACGTGTACTTATGATTTGGACGGATATGGAACAAAGCTACTGTTATGACATAAAGAGAGTCAGGGGGAGAGAGCAATCTGGTTTACCCTAGCAGACAAACAGCGAAACACATTAAAATGTTTCAGGGTTAATGAGATAAGAGGATAGCTTGAGTATTCAGGTGAGTAAAAGGAGGTAGAGAGTGCCGATAACTAAGACTCAAGCCCATAGGAAACCTACTGTATCCAACTGCATTAATTGGTGACAATGTAGTATCTAGAGAATAATGTTTATTAAACGCTAATAAAACATGTCACTACACATTTCACGTGGAAAGGGGTGTTGTGTCTTGAATGGGGGAAAAACCAAAATGGTCCCTTCCATCTCTCACTCACACTTGCTCTCCATCTAGCTACAACCACCATTTTGATACACATTACAGACTTCCTTTCATTAATTCATATTAGACTACAGAGTGTTGACTTCAGCATGTTTCCATTGACACATCATGTAACATCCCCTTCTTCTAGTTCCACAGAGAGTTCTAGAAGAGAGGCAGAAGCAGATGCCACAACGTGATCCAACTCAGGGCTGAAGGGTGAACGGGTGGGACATACAAACAAAGGCTCCTTGTCCATTTGTGTGTGTGTGTCTCCCTTGCCCTTTCCCTCCTGTCTTGCCCACAGTGGAGGGTGAGAGAAGGGTTCAGCAGTCCAATGCACCACATCCCCTTTTCAAACCCCTGTGTGTGAACAACAGTCACCCATTGCTCCTTAATGTGGAAAAGGGGTGTTTGGGGTCCTTACCCCTAGAACCATTCTTCCCCTCTTCTGACAAGAGGGGGATTGTGTTAATCTGTCTATCGTTCCAGTCCATCCACCCAGTCTGTCCATCCTCCTAACCCACCCCCTCTGAGTTTCCCTCCCCCACTCCAGTGGGTCTCTTAATGTGGTCCCCTCCGCCGGCGTGGTCTCGGTCAGTGGTTCCGCTGTCACAAGTCAGTGACTTTGTTCTCCACGGCTGCAGCGATCTGCTGGAGCCGGTAGCCCAGCTGCATCTTCTGGGCCGTGCTGTCCTCTTCTAGCGCCCCGATGATCTGAGAGAGAGCGAGGAAGGGATGGAGAGAGAAGGAGGGATGGAGAGAGGAGGAGGGATGGAGAGAGGAGGAGGGATGGAGAGAGGAGGAGGGATGGAGAGAGGAGGGATGGAGAGAGGAGGAGGGATGGAGAGAGGAGGAGGGATGGAGATAGAGAGACAGGGAGATGGAGGGAGAGCAGGATGGGATGGAGTGAGAAAGAGAGAGATGGAGAGAAAGAGAGGGGGTGGAGTGAGAGACAAAGAGATTGAAGGTAAACCAAAGACTCAGCTCTGATGTGTCATTCCATCCAACCACACAAGCGATAATGAAAACTCACCTGGTCATAGTACTTGTTGATGTACTTGTACAACTCGTGTAGGGCAACAAGGTAATTCAACTCTCCTGAGTAATTCTGGAAAAAAAGAAAACATTTTGACTTACAAGTCATTACAAATAAATAATAAGCACATCTTAATACGCATACACTTAAATGTGCTAATAGAGGTTCTATTAAAGCTGGTTCTATTAACAATAGGATATATTTAAAGTGTTCTAGGCATGCATTGCTGTAAAGTATAGGCCCACCCTGAAAAGTCCAACGTTTTACAGCTTGTGCTGAATGATCACTAGATCAGCTATAATCACACATTTAAGGGGTGACAGTAATAAATAAAAAAACATTTTAAAATGAGATACAAGCTGCAATATGTAACTTTTTGGGCGACCCTCAAATTCACATAGAAATGTGAGTTATAGATATGTCATTCTCATTGAAAGCAAGTACAGTGGGGAGAACAAGTATTTGATACACTGCCGATTTTGCAGGTTTTCCTACTTACAAAGCATGTAGAGGTCTGTAACTTTTATCATAGGTACACTTAAACTGTGAGAGACGGAATCTAAAACAAAAATCCAGAAAATCACATTGTATGATTTTTAAGTAATTCATTTGCATTTTATTGCATGACATAAGTATTTGATACATCAGAAAAGCAGAACTTAATATTTGGTACAAAAACCTTTGCAATTACAGAGATCATACGTTTTCTGTAGGTCTTGACCAGGTTTGCACACACTGCAGCAGGGATTTTGGCCCACTCCTCCATACAGACCTTCTCCAGATCCTTCAGGTTTCGGGGCTGTCACTGGGCAATACGGACTTTCAGCTCCCTCCAAAGATTGTCTATTGGGTTCAGGTCTGGAGACTGGCTAGGCCACTCCAGGACCTTGAGATGCTTCTTACGGAGCCCCTCCTTAGTTGCCCTGGCTGTTTGTTTCGGGTCGTTGTCATGCTGGAAGACCCAGCCACGACCCATCTTCAATGCTCTTATTGAGGGAAGGAGGTTGTTGGCCAAGATCTCGCGATACATGGCCCCATCCATCCTCCCCTCAATACGGTGCAGTCGTCCTGTCCCCTTTGCAAAAAAGCATCCCCAAAGAATGATGTTTCCACCTCCATGCTTCACGGTTGGGATGGTGTTCTTGGGGTTGTACTCATCCTTCTTCTTCCTCCAAACACGGCGAGTGGAGTTTAGACCAAAAAGCTCTATTTTTGTCTCATCAGACCACATTACTTTCTCCCATTCCTCCTCTGGATCATCCAGATGGTCATTGGCAAACTTCAGACGGGCCTGGACATGCGCTGGCTTGAGCAGGGGGACCTTGCGTGCGCTGCAGGATTTTAATCCATGACGGCGTGGTGTGTTACTAATGGTTTTCTTTGAGACTGTGGTCCCAGCTCTCTTCAGGTCATTGACCAGGTCCTGCCGTGTAGTTCTGGGCTGATCCCTCACTTTCCTCATGATCATTGATGCCCCATGAGGTGAGATCTTGCATGGAGCCCCAGACCGAAGGTGATTGACCGTCATCTTGAACTTCTTCCATTTTCTAATAATTGCGCCAACAGTTGTTGCCTTCTCACCAAGCTGCTTGCCTATTGTCTTGTAGCCCATCCCAGCCTTGTGCAGGTCTACAATTTTATCCCTGATGTCCTTACACAGCTCTCTGGTCTTGGCCATTGTGGAGAGGTTGGAGTCTGTTTGATTGAGTGTGTGGACAGGTGTCTTTTATACAGGTAACAAGTTCAAACAGGTGCAGTTAATACAGGTATTGAGTGGAGAACAGGAGGGCTTCTTGAAGAAAAACTACAGGTCTGTGAGAGCCGGAATTCTTACTGGTTGGTAGGTGATCAAATACTTCTGTCATGCAATAAAATGCAAATTAATTACTTCAAAATCATACAATGTGATTTTCTGGATTTTTGTTTTAGATTCTGTCTCTCACAGGTGAAGTGTACCTATGATCAAAATTACAGACCTCTACATGCTTTGTAAGTAGGAAAACCTGCAAAATCGGCAGTGTATCAAATACTTGTTCTCCCCACTGTATAAGAAGCGGCATATCTGTTCTATGTGCGCTATTTCTATGCTTCCCGTTCTTAAGATTGTTTTTTCAAACAGCTGAAAATAAAATATTTTTGGTAATGGAAAATATATTTCACAGCTGTTAAAATAGTACAATGATTCTATACACTATACTTGCTTGTTTTGTGAAATAAACTGAAATTAGGCAAACTATTGGAATTTTAGCAACGAGGAAATGGCAGAGCGATTTCTGCATATTGCACCTTTAACAATAGGACAAAGAACCAGGGGTTGGAACCAAAATTATTTTCCAATTGTCCCGTTCTGAATAGAACCATTTTATTTTTTCGTTACGTTCCACTGTTCCGACCTGCAAAATAAAGTTCTGAAACGGTACGAACCCCCCAAAAAGTACCGGTTTATATAGTTCCTTTCTGTTCCTTTTTAAACCTCCAAATCGTAATAAAAAAACAACATTTAGCTCGATATTAAATTACTTCAATCATCAGTGAGGATAGAGCAGCTTGCTATGGAACGGGCAAGCAATAGCCTAGTTCTTTACAGTGCCTTCAAAAAGTACTGTATTCATACCCCTTGATTTATTCCACATTTTGTTGTTACAGCCTAAATTCATTTTTTTTTCACCCATCTACACACAATACCCCATAATGACAAAGTGAAAACATGTTTTTAGACATTTTTGAAAATGTATTGAAAATGAAATACAGAAAGCTCATTTACATAAGTATTCACACCCCTTTGCTATGACACTCCAAATTGAGCTCAGGTTCATCCAATTTCCTTTGATCATCCTTGAGCTGTCACTACAACTTGATTGGATTCCACCTGTGGCCAATGTCTATATAAGGTCCAACAGCTGACAGTGCATGTCAGAGCATAAACTATACCATGAAGTCCAAGGAACTGTCCGTAGATCTCCGAGATAGAATTGTGATGAGGCATATATCTGGGGAAGGGCATAAAACAATTTCTAGAGTGTTGAACGTTTCCAAGAGCACAGTGGTCTCCATCATTGGGAAATGGACAAAATATGGAACTACCCACTTGGCTGTCCAATCAAACTGAGCAACCGGGCAAGAAGGACCTTGGTCAGGGAGGTGACCAAGAACACAATGACCACTGACAGAACTACAGAGTTCCTTGGCTGAGCTGGGAGAACCTGCCAGAAGGACAATAGACTCTTCAGCACTTCACCAATCTGGGCTTTATGGGAGAGTGGTCAGACGGAAGACACATGACGGCATGCCTGGAGTTTGCAAAAAGGCACGTGAAAGACTGAAATCATAAGGCATAAGATTCTGTGGTCTGATGAGACAAAAATGGAACTCGCTGGCCTGAATGAAAAAGCACTATGTCTGGAGAAAAGCAGGCACAGCTCATCACCCGTCTAACACTATCCCAACCGTGAAGCATGGTAGGTGGCAGCATCTTGCTATGGGGATGCTTTTCAGCGGCAGGGACTGGGAGACTGGTAAGGATAAAGGAAACAATGAATGGAGCCAAATACAGGCAAATCCTTGATGAGAACCTGCTTCAGAGTGCAAACGACCTTAGACTGGGGAGAATATTTATGTTCCAACAGGAATGGTGGAATGGCTTCAGAACAAGAATGTGAAAGTCCTTGAGTGGCCCAGCCAAAGCCCAGACTTGAATCCCATTGAAAATATGTAGAAAGACTTGAAGGGAGCGGCGGTGAACAGCAATCTATCTAACTTAAGAGCTTGAAAAAAATTGCAAGGAAGAATGGGAGAAAATTCCCAAATCCAGATGTGCAAAGCTGATACAGACATACCCAAGACGCCTCAAAGCTGTAATTGCCACCAAAGGTTCTTCTACAAAAAGTATTGACTCAGGGGTGTGAATACTGCAAAAATACTGCAAAAATTCTAAAAACATGTTTTCATTTTGTCATTATGGGGTATTGTGTGTAGATGGGTGAGAAAAAATATACAGTAGCAGTCAAAAGTTTGGACACACCTACTCATTCAAGGGTTTTTCTTTATTTTTACTATTTTCTACATTGTATAACAATAGTGAAGACATCAAAACAATGAAATAACACATATGGAATCATGTAGTAACCAAAAAAGCATTAAACAAATCAAAATGTATTTTATAATTTGAGATTCTTCAAATAGCCACCCTTTGCTTTGTACACTCTTGGCATTCTCTCAACCAGCTTCACCTGGAGTTCTCACATATGCTTAGCACTTGTTGGCTGCTTTTCCTTCACACTGCCATCCGACTCATCCCAAACCCTCTCAATTGGGTTGAGGTCGGGGGATTGTGGAGGCCAGGGCATCTGATGCAGCACTCCATCACTCTCCTTCTTGGTAAAATAGCCCTTACACCGCCTGTTGAAAAACAAATGATAGTCCCACTAAGCCCAAACCAGATGGGATGGCGTATCGCTGCAGAATGCTGTGGTAGCCATGCTGGTTAATTGTGCCTTGAATTCTAAATAAATCACAGACAGTGTCACCAGCAAAGCACCCCCACACCATAACACCTCCTCCTCCATGCTTTACGGTGGGAACTACACATGCGGAGATCATCTGTTCACCCACAATGCGTCTCACAAAGACACAGCGGGTTGGAACCAAAAATTTCAAATTTGGACTCCAGACCAAAGGACAGATTTCCACCGGTCTAATGTCCATTGCTCGTGTTTCTTGGCCGAAGCAGGTCTCTTATTATTATTGGTGCCCTTTAGTAGTGGTTTATTTGCAGCAATACGACCATAAAGGTCTGATTCACACAGTCCCCTCTGACCAGTTGATGTTGAGATGTGTCTGTGACTTGAACTCTGTGAAGCATTTATTTGGGCTGCAATTTCTGAGGCTGATAACTCTAATGAACTTATCCTCTGCAGCAGAGGTAACTCTGGGTCTTCCATTCCTGTGGTGGTCCTCATGAGAGCCAGTTTCATCATTGCACTTGATGATTTTTGTGACTGCACTTGAAGAAACTTTCAAAAAGTTCTTGAAATGTTCCGTATTGACTGACCTTCATGTCTTAAAGTAATGATGGACTGTTGTTTCTCTTTGCTTATTTGAGCTGTTCTTGCCATAATATGGACTTGGTCTTTTTCCAAATAGGGCTATCTTCTGTATACCCCCCTCCCTTGTCACACCACAACTGATTGGCTCAAACGCATTAAGAAGAAAGAAATTCCACAAATTCACTTTTAAGAAGGCACACCTGTTAATTGAAATGCATTCCAGGTGACTACCTCATGAAGCTGGTTGAGAGAATGCCAAGAGTGTGCAAAGCTGTCATCAAGGCAAAGGGTGGCTATTTGAAGAATCTCAAATATAAAATATATTTTGATTTGTTGAACACTTTTTTGGTTACTACATGATTCCATATGTGTTATTTCATAGTTTTGATGTCTTCACTATTCTACAATGTAAAAAATAGTACAAATAAAGAAAAACCCTTGAATGTCCAAACTTTTGACTGGTAGTGTACAGTGAGGGAAAAAAGTATTTGATCCCCTGCTGACTTTGTACGTTTGCCCACTGACAAAGACATGATCAATCTATAATTTTAATGGTAGGTTTATTTGAACAGTGAGAGACAGAATAACAACAAAAAAATCCAGAAAAACGCATGTCAAAAATGTTATAAATTGATTTGCATTTTAATGAGGGAAATAAGTATTTGACCCCTCTGCAAAACATGACTTAGTACTTGGTGGCAAAACCCTTGTTGTTAATCACAGAGTTCAGACGTTTCTTGTAGTTGGCCACCAGGTTTGCACACATCTCATGAGGGATTTTGTCCCACTCCTCTTTGCAGATCTTCTCCAAGTCTTTAAGGTTTCGAGGCTGACGTTTGGCAACTCAAACCTTCAGCTCCCTCCACAGATTTTCTTTGGGATTAAGGTCTGGAGATTAAGGTCTGGGTGCTTCTTCTTGAGCCACTCCTTTGTTGCCTTGGCCGTGTGTTTTGGGTCATTGTCATGCTGGAATACCCATCCACGACCCATTTTCCTGCCAAGATTTGACGGTACATGGCCCCGTCCATCGTCCCTTTGATGCAGTAAAGTTGTCCTGTCCCCTTAGCAGAAAAACACCCCCAAAGCATTATGTTTCCACCTCCATGTTTGACAGTGGGAATGGTGTTCTTGGGGTCATAGGCAGCATTCCTCCTCCTGCAAACACGGCGAGTTGAGTTGATGCCAAAGAGCTCGATTTTGGTCTCACCTGACCACATCACTTTCACCCAGTTCTCCTCTGAATCATTCAGATGTTCAAATGGCAAAATTCAGACAGGCATGTATATGTGCTTTCTTGAGCAGGGGGACCTTGCGGGCACTGCAGGATTTCAATCCTTCACGGCGTAGTGTGTTACCAATTGTTTTCTTGGTGACTATGGTCCCAGCTGCCTTGAGATCATTGACAAGATCCTCCCGTGTAGTTCTGGGCTGATTCCTCACCGTTCTCATGATCATTGCAACTCCACGAGGTGAGATCTTACATGGAGCCCCAGGCCGAGGGAGATTGACAGTTATTTTGTGTTTCTTCCATTTGCGAATAATCGCACCAACTGTTGTCACCTTCACACCAAGCTGCTTGGTGATGGTCTTGTAGCCCATTCTAGCCTTGTGTAGGTCTACAATCTTGTCCCTGACATCCTTGGAGAGCTCTTTGGTCTTGGCCATGGTGGAGAGTTTGGAATCTGATTGATTGATTGATTGCTTCTGTGGACAGGTGTCTTTTATACAGGTAACAAACTGAGATTAGGAGCACTCCCTTTAAGAGTGTGCTCCTAATCTCAGCTCGTTACCTGTATAAAAGACACCTGGGAGCCAGAAATCTTTCTGATTGAGAGGGGGTCAAATACTTATTTCCCTCATTAAAATGCAAATCAATTTATAACATTTTTGACATGTGTTTTTCTGGATTTTGTTGTTGTTATTCTGTCTCTCACTGTTCAAATAAACCTATCATTAAAATTATAGACTGATCATTTCTTTGTCAGTGGGCAAACGTACAAAATCAGCAGGGGATCAAATACTTTTTTCCCTCACTGTATATTGAATGTCTTTGAACTTCTGAGAGTTGGCTTAACGTTGGACCAGAGCTAGCTAACAAGAATTAAAAACATGTCTTACCTTTTTGTAGTTAATTAACCCAATGTGAAATGTGATAACTATAGTATCCTTAACTATCATTGAAGAAGTTAATCCATTTAAAAATCAATCCCTAATTTCTGAATCACAGTTGTAACGTCAGTAGGCTACAGTAGACTACGCTTCAGAGGGGGAGGGGCAGGTTGCCTACTTTATTTTATTTTATTTCACCTTTATTTAACCAGGTAAGCCAGTTGAGAACAAGTTCTCATTTACAACTGCGACATGGCCAAGATAAAGCATAGTAGTGCGATAAAAACAACAACACAGAGTTACATATGGGGTAAAAAACATAAAGTCAAAAAATACAACAGAAAATATATATACAGTGTGTGCAAATGTAGCAAGTTATGGAGGTAAGGCAATAAATAGGCCATAGTGCAAAATAATTACAATTAGTATTAACACTGGAATGCTAGATGTGCAAGAGATTATGTGCAAATAGAGATACTGGGGTGCAAAAGAGCAAAATAAATAACAATATAGGGATGAGGTAGTTGGGTGGGCTAATTTCAGATGGGCTGTGTACAGGTGCAGTGATCGGTAAGGTGCTCTGACAACTGATGCTTAAAGTTAGTGAGGGAGATAAGAGTCTCCAGCTTCAGAGATTTTTGCAATTCGTTCCAGTCATTGGCAGCAGAGAACTGGAAGGAATGGCGGCCAAAGGAGGTGTTGGCTTTGGGAATGACCAGTGAGATATACCTGCTGGAGCGCAGACTACGGGTGGGTGCTGCTATGGTGACCAATGAGCTAAGATAAGGCGGGGATTTGCCTAGCAGTAATTTATAGATGGCCTGGAGCCAGTGGGTTTGACGACAAACATGTAGTGAGGACCAGCCAACAAGAGCGTACAGGTCACAGTGGTGGGTAGTGTATGGGGCTTTGGAGACAAAACGGATGGCACTGTGATAGACTACATCCAATTTGCTGAGTAGAGTGTTGGAGGCTATTTTGTAAATGACATCGCCGAAGTCAAGGATCGGTAGGATAGTCCAGTTTTACGAGGGCATGTTTGGCAGCATGAGTGAAGGAGGCTTTGTTGCGAAATAGGAAGCCGATTCTAGATTTAACTTTGGATTGGAGATTCTTAATGTGAGTCTGGAAGGAGAGTTTACAGTCTAACCAGACACCTAGGTATTTGTAGTTGTCCACATACTCTAGGTCAGACCCGTCGAGAGTGGTGATTCTAGTCGGGTGGGCGGGTGCCAGCAGCGTTCGATTAAAGAGCATGCATTTAGTTTTACTAGTGTTTAAGAGCAGTTGGAGGCTATTGAAGGAGTGTTGTATGGCATTGAAGCTCGTTTGGAGGTTTGTTAACACAGTGTCCAATGAAGGGCCAGATGTATACAAAATGGTGTCGTCTGCGTAGAGGTGGATCTGAGAGTCACCAGCAGCAAGAGCGACATCATTGATATACACGGAGAAAAGAGTCGGCCCAAGAATTGAACCCTGTGGCACCCCCATAGAGACTGCCATAGGTCCAGACAACAGGCCCTCCGATTTGACACACTGAACTCTATCTGAGAAGTAGTTGGTGAACCATGCGAGGCAGTCATTTGAGAAACCAAGGCTATTTAGTCTGCCAATAAGAATGCGGTGGTTGACAGAGTCGAAAGCCTTGGCCAGGTCGATGAAGACGGCTGCACAGTACTGTCTATTATCGATCGCGGTTATAATATCGTTTAGGACCTTGAGCGTGGCTGAAGTGCACCCATGACCAGCTCGGAAACCGGATTGCATAGCGGAGAAGGTACGGTGGGATTCGAAATGGTCGGTGATCTGTTTGTTAACTTGGCTTTCAAATACTTTCGAAAGGCAGGGCAGGATGGATATTGGTCTGTAACAGTTTGGATCTAGAGTGTCACCCCCTTTGAAGAGGGGGATGACCGCGGCAGCTTTCCAATCTCTGGGGATCTCAGACGTTACGAAAGAGAGGTTGAACAGACTAGTAATAGGGGTTGCGACAATTTCGGCAGCTAGTTTTAGAAAGAAAGGGTCCAGATTGTCTAGCCCAGCTGATTTGTAGGGGTCCAGATTTTGCAGCTCTTTCAGAACATCAGCTGTCTGAATTTGTGTGAAGGAGAAGCAGGGGGGGGGGCATGGGCAAGTTGCAGCGGAGGGTGCAGAGTTGGTGGCCGGGGTAGTGGTAGCCAGGTGGAAAGCATGGCCAGCCGTAGCAAAATGCTTGTTGAAATTCTCGATTATTGTAGATTTATCGGTGGTGATAGTGTTTCCTAGCCTCAGTGCAGTGGGCAGCTGGGAGGAAGTGCTCTTATTCTCCATGGACTTTACAGTGTCCCAAAACTTTTTGGAGTTAGTGCTACAGGATGCAAATTTCTGTTTGAAAAAGTTAGCCTTTGCTTTCCTGACTGCTTGTGTATATTGGTTCCTAACTTCCCTGAAAAGTTGCATATCGCGGGGGCTATTTGATGCTAATGATCATGAGGAAGGTGAGGGATCAGCCCAGAACTACACGGCAGGACCTGGTCAATGACCTGAAGAGAGCTGGGACCACAGTCTCAAAGAAAACCATTAGTAACACACTAACCCATCATGGATTAAAATCCTGAAGCGCACGCAACGTCCCCCTGCTCAAGCCAGCGCATGTCCAGGCCCGCCTACACACTCACACACACTGGCAAAGACTTCCAGCTGGCCGGCAGACACTGGAATACGTTTCTGTGTGACATAGTGAGGACTTTGCATAGGCGCTTTGTTGCGTTTTTTGTGGGACAGAAAAAAATGGCCCGGAACGTAAAACAACGTTATTAACCGGTTCCAATGCTTTTAAAATAACGGTTCTGTTCCGGAACAGTACAGATCACTTTCATTCCCGGTTCTGTTCCCTGTACTGGATCCAACCCCTTCAAAGAACCGAATCAAGGAATAGTAAACTCCCATAAAAAAATATATATACAGTGGGGAGAACAAGTATTTGATACACTGCCGATTTTGCAGGTTTTCCTACTTACAAAGCATGTAGAGGTCTGTAATTTTTATCATAGGTACACTTCAACTGTGAGAGACGGAATTTAAAACAAAAATCCAGAAAATCACATTGTATGATTTTTAAGTAATTAATTTGCATTTTATTGCATTACATAAGTATTTGATCACCTACCAACCAGTAATAATTCTGGCTCTCACAGACCTGTTAGTTTTTCTTCAAGAAGCCCTCCTGTTCTCCACTCATTACCTGTATTAACTGCACCTGTTTGAACTTGTTACCTGTATAAAAGACACCTGTCCACACACTCAATCAAACAGACTCCAACCTCTCCACAATGGCCAAGACCAGAGAGCTGTGTAAAGACATCACAGATAAAATTGTAGTCCTGCACAAGGCTGGGATAGGCTACAGGACAATAGGCAAGCAGCTTGGTGAGAAGGCAACAACTGTTGGCGCAATTATTAGAAAATGGAAGAAGTTCAAGATGACGGTCAATCACCCTCGGTCTGGGGCTCCATGCAAGATCTCACCTCGTGTGGTATCAATGATCATGAGGAAGGTGAGGGATCAGCCCAGAACTACACGGCAGGACCTGGTCAATGACCTGAAGAGAGCTGGGACCACAGTCTCAAAGAAAACCATTAGTAACACACTAACCCATCATGGATTAAAATCCTGAAGCGCACGCAACGTCCCCCTGCTCAAGCCAGCGCATGTCCAGGCCCGTCTGAAGTTTGCCAATGACCATCTGGATGATCCAGAGGAGGAATGGGAGAAGGTAATGTGGTCTGATGAGACAAAAATAGAGCACTCGCCATGTTTGGAGGAAGAAGAAGGAGGAGTATAACCCCAAGAACACAGTCAGAGCAACTAAGGAGTGTCTCCGTAAGAAGCATCTCAAGGTCCTGGAGTGGCCTAGCCAGTCTCCAGACCTGAACCCAATAGAAAATCTTTGGAGGGAGCTGAAAGTCCGTATTGCCCAGCGACAGCCCCGAAACCTGAAGGATCTGGAGAAGGTCTGTATGGAGGAGTGGGCCAAAATCCCTGCTGCAGTGTGTGCAAACCTGGTCAGGTCCTACAGGAAACGTATGATCTCTGTAATTGCAAACAAAGGTTTCTGTACCAAATATTAATTTCTGCTTTTCTGATGTATCAAATACTTATGTCATGCAATAAAATGCAAATGAATTACTTAAAAATCATACAATGTGATTTTCTGGATTTTTGTTTTAGATTCCGTCTCTCACAGTTGAAGTGTACCTATGATAAAAAATTACAGACCTCTACATGCTTTGTAAGTAGGAAAACCTGCAAAATCGGCAGTGTATCAAATACTTGTTCTCCCCACTGTATATACAGGTGCAGCTCAATAAATTAGAATATTGTGGAAAAGTTAAGTAATTTCAATAATTCAATTGACAAAGTGATTAATTACACAAAAAGTGAAATAGTTCAAGCCTGTATTTGTTTTAATCTTGATGATTACGGCTTACAGCTCATGAAAACCCCAAAATCAGTATCTCAGAAAATTAGAATATGACATAAGACCAGTGAAAAAAAGAAATGTAATACAGACATGTCGGCCTTCTGAAAAGTATGTTCTTGTCTTCTGCACAACTGTCAAGTCAGCAGTCTTCCCATGATTGTGAAGCCTACTGAACTGGACTGAGAGACCATTTAAAGGCTCAGGAAACCTTTGCAGGTGTTTTGAGTTAGTTAGCTGATTAGAGTGTGACACCTTGAGTCTACAATATTAAACTTTTACACAATATTCAAATTTTCTGAGATACTGAATGTGGGGTTTTCATGAGCTGTAAGCCGTAATCATCAAGATAAAACAAATACAGGCTTGAACTATTTCGCTTTTTGTGTAATTAATCCACGATATGACTTTGTCAATTGAATTATTGAAATTAATTAACTTTTCCACAATATTCTAATTTATTGAGCTGGACCTGTATAATGTATTCATCAAAAAATGGTGCAGAAAATGTCAAGTTTAAGGTAGAGCACTTTTAGAACAGTGCAAAAACTGTGACGATGATGCGTTTGGCAAAAATAGCTTGAGTGAACAGTGTTTACTGAATGAATAAACTGAAGTAAAAGACCAACCCTGGATAGTTCTGCTAGAGCGGAGTTCATCTCCTGATCACTGGCAGAGATGGTCTGTCTGATGTCAGCGTAGTACCGTACCACCATCTGCTTGTAACGGGGGATGTCTCGGGCATACAGCAGTTTGTTTATTGGTGAATCCTAGAGAGACAGAGAAAGGGAGGGAGAGAGAGAGAGAGATTACCAGTTATAAAGAATCACCTCCACCTTCCACCGTCTCCCATGGCCCAGTCAACATCTCCCCTACGCGCATGCACAACCCCAGAGGGGATGGGTTAAATGCAGAAGACACATTTCAGTTGAATGCCTTCAGTTGTGCAACTGACTAGGTATCCCCATTCCTTTCCCTCCTCTCACTCACTCTGCCCAGTTTATGCTCTGAGGTGGTGCAGGAGTCCATGAAGGTCTGGGAGATGACCGTCAACACGGCGTCCACGTGGTCCGAGGGCTGGACGTCAAAGATAAACTGGGGGTTCTTTACAATGTTGATCCAGAACCTCAGGGGCAAACTGGACGGAGGGAACGAGGGAGGGAGGGAGGGAGGGAACGAGGGAGGGAGGGAACGAGAGAGGGAAAGAGGGAACGAGAGAGGGAACGAGGGAGGAAAACAGCGTTACATGTATGGATAAGAACTGTTATTGTTATGTTCACATGTTACATATCATATCACCCAACCACATAATAATGTAAACACACACACGTATGCAAGGACACACACGTGGATGGTCTCAAGAGTCTGTGTGTGTGAGTGTGTACCTGTTGGTCTTCCAGATGTGGATGGAATCAGGATGTGTGTGCGCGCGCGGCCGTCTATCCACGTACATGCGCGTGCGTGTGTGTGTGTGTGTGCTTCTGCATCGGTGTGTATGTATGTACCTGTTGGTCTTCCAGATATGGATGGTCTCGGGGTCGGTGATGGCGTGGTGCTGCGCCTGGTCATCCAGCAGGTCAAAGAAGTACTTGACAGCCAGTGGAACGGGACGACTGGTGGACAGGATCACCGTGAACAGGTCATCCACAAACTTCTGCAGAGTGCCCTGTGGAGGGAGGGAGGGAGGGAGATTGGGAAAGGTTAGGGTTTTTGCGCAATTTTGAAAGTGAATGTGGGAGTGTCTGTGTGTAATAATAATTCATTATAATTTGGGGGGTGATTATGTTTGTCCTGTTACACACTTGTGGAAATGTAATGGAAATGTGTTTCTTGCATATCCCAACTCCCCCTGAGACACCCGCTGGGAGTGGGGTCACGGCCACGGTCACCATTGTCCAGCGCCCCTGGAGAAACTGGGGTTAAGTGCCTTGCTCAGGGCACAGCTACAGATGTTTCACCTTGTCGGCTCTGGGATTTGAACCAGTGACCTATCAGTTACTGGCCCACAGGTCTAACCTCCAGGCTATCTGCCGTGTGTGTGTGTACGTCTACAGTATCTGCCGTGTGTGTGTGTGTATGTATGTGTGTGTGTGTGTGTGTGTACGTCTACAGTATCTGCCGGGCGTGTGTGTGTGTCATGTGTGCATCCAGTATCTACCTTCATAGAGAGCAGTCGTGTGAGGTAGATCTCTGGTATAGCCTTGGCCCTCTCCCTCTCCCGCACACTGCCCCGGCGGTGCTTGGGTAGCTCAGGCTCCTCGCCGGCCTTGACCAGGTGCCACAGCCTCACCCCGCCCTCGTCTGCATCCTCCAGCATGGGCGTCTCTGAACAGGGGGAGGACGACAGAAGAAAGGAAAAAGGTTGAGAAAGAAAGAGAGTTAGCAAAAAAAAGGGCAATTTCAAATGTTATATAGTTATTTGTACATATTTCACAAAAGTTAACATTTGAGTCAACGTTTCAGCCTAGTGGACTTTCTCAAGATGAGATGCATCCATACTTATTCTACAAAAACTTAGTGGAAGTGGTCACTGTAGTGGAACAACAAGACATTTCCCAGAGAGTGTGGAACTAAAATGCAAGTGGAACTCACTTTCCCCTGCCACGTAGTCGTGGTTGTCGTGGTGAATGTGTTTGCTGTGGCGCGGGACCAAAGCCACTGTCGCTCCATCTGGAACCTGAAACACAACAACAACAGTGTTATAAATCTCTCATGAATACGATATAGATGCACTATGAAGGCTTATGAATGCCCTATGAAGGTTTATGAATGCTTTATGATTGCACCATGAAGTCTTATGAATGCTTTGTGAATGCTTATGAAGGGTTAATGAAGTGTAATATACCATTAATAAAGGCTTAGAAACATGAATTTGATCAAAATCGTAAGACCATTATGAATGCTTTATGAAGGCTTTATGAATGCTTTACAGAGTGTTATAAACTCTTTATAAAGCTTTATGACGGCTCGATGTGGGTGCAGACCTTGTAATGTTGGAGTGTGTTGAGGCGTTTCCAGTTGCCCTGGACAATAGACGTCAGGTCTTCATCAGACAGGATCAGATGACCTGCTACACCGGACCTCCACTCTGAAACACAAACGCAGTATGTTAGACAGGCCTATAGACAGAATGAAATAGAACACCATTATAATACACTATAGGCTCAGTCACTAGCAAGTAACATTATTCATCAGATCCAGTGTGTGTGAGAGAGAGAGCAAGTGAGGGAGGGGGAGGGGGAGGGGGAGGGCCCATCTTCCCAGAGGTGCAACCAGGTTACTATTATTCGAGTCTCAAGTCACAAGGTCAGAGTCTCAAGTCACAAGGTCAGAGTCTCAAGTCACAAGGTCAGAGTCTCAAGTCACAAGGTCAGAGTCTCAAGTCACAAGGTCAGAGTCTCAAGTTGAGTCCCAAGTAGAACGGGTCAAGACTCGAGTCAAGTCCAAGTCGTGCATTCTAAGAACAAGTCAAGTCAAGTCACAAGTCAAGTAAAAAACAAAATCTATACATGCAATGACTTGTTCAACTACAAATCTGTTTCTATTTATTGAGGCTACCAGACAGCCTTTTCATTATTTTGTCTAATCTAATTATAAAATAGGGACCTTGTAGCAGTCTTAAGGGCATTAAAACAGCAGAAGGCAAGGCAGGTTGATGTGCTCACAGTGTAGATTTATTTACAGGTCTTGGTGATCCAATGGTGAAAGCGCCATATCATACAAAATATACAAGTAGATTTACCAAATATACACGGGCAATAGCCCAAAAGAAATATCCTCTGTATCAGGCTTAACCTGTCCTATTTCAACGGACACAGGTAGAGGGCAAGACTGTACAGCCTCCCCTTGAGAAACCAAATGGACTCTGTCTAACAGGAGCTCAAACAGGTAGACCTGCATAATATAACCACTTGGCCCCCAGGACCAGACAATTACGCAATTGGCAAATGCAACCAATAAACTGGTTCTGCAATGCAAAAGGCAATTTCCACATCAATTTTTACATTGGTACATTTGGCTTAATCAGACTTAATTATTGTTAATGATATTTCAACACCATGCATACATGGAACAATAATTTTCTCTTATTGAACGTTCTCACTCCAAAGCTGAGGCACGCAGGCTCCTATTACGCAATGACAGAGACATAGGACACAAACACACGGAACTCCGACATAACCTGGGAACAAAGGAAACCATACATTTAATTAAATAAACAGAACTTCTACCTCATGAGTCTTGCGAACGTTCATGTGCACTATAAACATCGCGCCCACTCAGAGCAGGGTAAGAAACGGTTGGCTAAATTAAAATGTATCGTAGGCCTATCAAACATGAAACAGAAATGTCTACCTGTTGCAATAGGTACGGAGATGGAATGATGAAACGCTAGCAATTATTTTAGTATGAAATGGAATATAGATTTACAACATAGCATTTAGCAAAAGAAAACATTTCAACAAGAGAAAAAAGGCGCTCTCCACTGGTGGGAGTTTGGAGAGCGTCTTCACACAGTAGGCTAATGATTCATTTTAACACATTCCAAATGCAAGCTTCATAAATAAATTATAAATTTCTAGTAATTATTACATACCTAAAGACCTTTAAGGCCTATGCGAGTAATTGATGCCCCATTGCTGGTGAGCTTACAAAGTAAACAGTTAATATTATTGATCACCAAATCATTGTTGGAGCTGCATATTTATTTATTATGGCAATCCTTTCCCCCTACAATTTGAAGTTTGAGCTTTACCCGATCCTATAGCTGTACGGCAAATCAGAAATGTGTTCGCTAGCTCACCCGACCTGTGTTGATTGACAGTTTGCTGGTCCATTCAGAGTGCCGAGTGTGCGCTTCACTAACCAATCTGCTGCAACTTGCATGTTTGTTTTTTTAACAAGGGCGATGCTGTGGCTCCTGTATCTGGCTGCATGTAGAGTAATCCACGTAGACTCTGTGCCACAAAATGAGTGACAAAATATTACAAAACCTGGCCAGATCATTTCAAGTCATCAGTCTCAAGTCAAAGCCGAGTCTTGAGGCTCCAAGTCCAAGTCAAGTCTCAAGTTATTTTATATCAAGTCGAGTCTCAAGTCATCAAATTTGTGACTCGAGTCCACAACTCTGCATCTTCCTGTGTGTGTGTGTGTGTGTGTGTGTGTGTGTTCCTCACCCAGGTCCAGAGAGTCTGTGTGTGGCCGGTGGGAGAAGGAGGTGCCCTTGTAGACCTGGTCCAGGAGTTTCTCCTTCACCTGGGTGATGGTGTCTATATCCAGCACCTTGGAGGGAAGCAGCTGCGTCTCATTCACCCCCCCGCCCTGCATCAACACGTTCAGGGTCTGGGGGGGGTACGAGAGAATGAGCTTTCAATCACTCACAAAACACACTTTCTTGGATGTATTTTATTTTTCCAATGTTTATATTCGTCTTTAGATCTATTTATCTTATCTCAGGTTTTTCACTGAAGAAAGAAAAGAGTGTGTTTGTGTGTGTGGTTAGACTGAGTGCACATGTGTGCCTTTCGTGAAACAACACTGCCACTTTTCCCCTTTACTAGCACTGACTTTGCTGATAGCTACTTTATTGAGGAAAAATGTACTTACTGTGACTGAGATATGCGGTTGTCCCACCTAGCTATCTTAAGGTGAGTGCACTAACTGTCGGTCTGAATGTGTGTGTGTTTTTGTGTGTCCGTATGAGTGTGTGTCTGAATGCCTGAGTGTGTGTATCCTCACCAGGGTCTTGTACTCAACGTCCTCTCGGAGCAGACGGTTGTCGTTGAGCGTGTATTTGGCCTTGCCCGTCACCGCGTCCACCGGCCCCTTGTCCACCTGATGCTTGATAGCCCTGAACAACATGTAGAGAGACTCGCCTGCAGAGTCCTGGAGAGAGGGGGAGACAACAACAGTTAGCATCATGCTAGCAAAACAGGTACACAATTAGCATCATGCTAACAAATGTAGGTAAACAGTTAGCATCATGATAACCAATCCGGTAAACAATTAGCATCATGCTAACAATCATTGTCCTGGGAAAGACGAGGTTACACGACATTTACCAACATGCTAAAAATGAATTCCTCCATTTCCACCGCTAATGAATGTTAATGCTAGTAGGCATTTTGACCCAGGTAAGATATATTTAGCCAAGTCTGCTTAAAACTGGCATGGATAATGTAGCCAAGATTCACAAGCATGGAATAAAGCCTTGGCCCAGTTGGAATTCTTTGAAAGTGCATCCTTCCTTCTTTGACGTCATTACTGATTAGAAATGACTGGACAGGTGAAAGCCATGTGGTGGAGTCCTTTCATTTCTGTCTAAACAGTGATTAATTCAAGGAAGTACTCATTACTGACACGACTCATGTAGAACACAGAGAGGGAGAGCGGTGACACACTGGTCAGGAAAATACTCTATTGTAAATGCAATATTCGCGCAGAAATGGGTTGAGCTTTGATTGGTTCTCGCAAACGTTTTTTTATTTCCTTTAGAGCTCACTTTGTTTGGATGTGAAAATCCAACAGTTGTATTGGAAGGGGCGGTTCTCAGGGGCTGTTTTTGGTTGTACATGTGGGTGTTTGAGTGAGAAATACACAGAGGAGAACCAAATCAGTAAACAAGAACAGCCCCATTCATTAATTGACGCTTCGTGCCTTCAACATCAAGGAACCTTTCCAGACTCTGAAGTCAGGAAGACTGAGTTTGGCGTTTGCCAGACTAATCATTTCCTCCTCTGTGTAGAAGTAATTCCTGTGGACCGACTCACCCTGAGGAAAGCATAGAGGCAGATGGACATCCAGTTGGTCAGCAGCTTCTCCACCACTGTCTCCGTTCTGCAAAGTAAAAAATCAGTTACACGTATTCTCTCTCCCACACACACACCCTGACCTGCACACCCCCACACACACCCTCTCCATCCCTTCCTATCTTACCTCCGGAGCATGAGTTTGGGGTTCTTGACCACGTACTGCTCCACCAGGTCGTTGAGCAGGGTCTTGAGGATGTCGGTGAAGTACTCCAGTTTACCATGCAGTGCCACCGTCAGGAGAGAGGCCACGTAGGCCCGGTCCCTTGGCGAGAACGTCCGCTGGCTCTCCAGAGTATGGATGAACTGGTACGGAGGAGAAAGAGGAGGGAGAGGAACGACAGTGAGAAAAAATAAAAAGGTAGCGGCTAAATATCTCTCCCATGATATTTCTACCCCAGGGGAGGCTGGTGTAGTGAAGAAGAGGATGGTTCTCCTCTGTAATTTCAGTAACAAACAAAAAAACGTATTTAGGAATCCCCCTTGTTATAAAACTATACCTCTGTTATAGGCTACCACTACACAGCTCAAAACCATAGAAATAGACTCCATAGAAAGGCCTTGGGACCTTTGACCCTGGCAATTTGACTGGTAAACTCATGGGTACATCTGCGATGGCTGACTGGTATTATGATGAGATCTGACACTGGATTGCCATGGTACAATATAATATTAACTGATATGGCTCATGCAATGCAATGTATTTTTTGTAATGTCAGTTGAGTTGACTCAACAAATCACAGCACAGATTGATGGGAACATTTCCTGCTTTTACTTCCTGCTTTGCTCCTATGGGTACACCAGTCCACCCATTATGCCACCATTGACTTGAATTGGGAGGCCTTTTCTATGGATTCTGTTTCTATGGTTCGAACCCTGGTTTTAGTATTGCCAGGTGAGGTCGGCTACAAATATTCTTCATTGCAGTCATTGCAGTCTCACATTGCTTGCTTTCCTTCAAAACCACTTGTCTAAAACAAACCTTCAAGAGTCCAATAACATGGTAAGAATCAATCCAGTTCTTTCACCAATCATCATCACTGTCCCCCTACCTTGGTAAGGAACAGTTTGCTGTTGAGCAAGTTAGAGAGCTGCACCAGGCCCTGCTCCACCGTGGCCCGTCGACACTCCTGCACGTCCAGATCCCTCCGCAGGGGTGACTCGCGGTGGCCCGGGAAGAAGATCCGCTCTGCATAGCGCCGGTAGTCCAGGAAGGGGATGCCCGAGCCCACCAGGTCACTGGACATGTCCATCATCTCCGTCATCAGGTCTAGGGGGGGCGGGGTCAGGAGTTCAAAGGTTAAAGCGGTGTGACCTTGCTCGGAACATGTGCCAATCGAAAAAGGGGTGAGTTTTATTTGTTTTGTTTATTTGGATCCCCATTAGTTTTTGCAAGCTTCGTAAAACAACAGGTGTTCCCAACAATGGAGAGAGAAAAATAGAAAAAGAATAGAAAGATAATAACAGGAGGAATAAATACAACAATAAATAAATAAACAGGAATAAATACAAGAGCAGCTACTTCCTGTGGTCCACAAAAAATAAATCATGACAAGTAAAGCACTGATAGACAAAGACAGTCACACAAATTAAAAATACAACGATATTCAAACAATACAACTAAAAACTAATACAAATAATACAACAAAAAATAATGTGTGTGTTAGGGTGTGTCTGTGTGTGTGTGTGTGTTTGTGTGTCCAATCACAGTCCCCGCCATTCCAGTGAAAGTCAGTGGAGAAAAGAGGCCCTTTAAAAAGGCTATACGGAACTTTTGGAATGAAGCCAAAAGGGTCAGCTAAATGAACAGATATATTGTCCAGAAGTTACCTCATTGGACAGAAAGGGGCACACCTCCCCACAACCATGAGAAACTTCCCTCAGGGAGCTCGACTCATGGTTTTTAATGTTGTCAATGTCATTGTACAGCCAAGTTTCCACACTTTGGTGTGGACAATAAAGTTTATTCTAGTCCGACTGAACTGGTCTGTTGACGTTGAAACTAGATGCCGAGAATGGTGTTATTGCTTCAAAAGCGATGAATGTTGACATTGGGCGAGGAGTGGGGCCAAAATTAAACTTGTTATTGTCAGAAGCCCACTGAGTGGAATTTGGAGACATTTCATACGTACAGGGGGATTATTTGATGAGATCCTTTTATAAAGAAAGTTAAAAACAAGGATAAATAAACACACAGGGGGTTCTCAAGCATCTCATTTTTCAATTTTTCCTAGCTTCTATCGAGTTCTATCGGGGTACACACACTGAAAGGATTGGATATTCTATCGGGATTCACACACTGAAAGGATTGGATAGGTGAGAAATATAGAAAGAGCCTGCTACTCTCCTATTGGGGGGTTAGTAATATATTGAAATGTCTCTCTTCCCATGTCTCTTCCTCTCTCATTTCATATCTCTCTGTCTCATTTGGAGAGATTAAGGTGTGTTAGTGCTGGGCTGGAACAAAAGCCTGTACACTGCCGCCCTCCAGGACCAGAAGTGCCCAACCACTATTCTATTTAGACTGTCTGCTGTGGTGTGTGACTGAATTGGGAACTCTTTCTCGCAGCAGTATCCCCAACTCTTTCTTGTCACTTCTCTTACCCTATACCACAGTCTCTCTCTATATCCCTCTGTCCCTCTGACCCTGCCTGTGGGGGAGAAGGTTAGTGCATAGAAATATATTGCATCTACTTGTACCTCCTAGTTATGGGAACCCTCAATATGGCCATTGACTTGAATGGGGATGCTGGTTCTAGTAATTATAGTTCTATGGGTTAGTTAGTGTTGGGGTCTGACCTGTGAACTCCTTCTTGCAGCGGTCTCTCACGCTGGTCTCCAGGTTCTCCAGTTGGATCTGAACCTTCTTGTAGTCCCTCAGAGCCTGCTTACTCTTCCTCCTGTTAACACACGCACATTAGAACTGGACTCACATCCCAAGATACATAAGGTTCACGTAAACAAATACTTGCGCACACACACATACCTGTAGATGAGCACTATGATGAGGACGATGAGGGCTAGGATGGAGGACCCCACGCCCACCCCTACCTGGGCCTCCAGGGGGAAGGTGGACAGGCTGAGGATGTCGTACTGCACCCTGCCCAGGGAGAAGTTCAGGTTGCCCATGTGGACCTGGAACACACACAGACAAATCTGCTATGGCGCTAGACTGTACAAACTGGGGTTAGGGTTAGTTTGGGTTAAGCTTAGTTAGCCTCAAATGGGGTGAGGGAGCCAATTGAGATGTGTCAACCGTGCTTTATCAGAAAACCTTACTGTTGACTCAGTCCTTCCCCCACTTTCCTTTCCTCAATGTCTCTCTCTCAAAGCGCATTGGAGGATGAGGTCCGAGGGAGGGATCTTGGACCCTCTCCTCCAATGCGCTTTGAGAGAGAAGTGAGAAACGGAGGAAACAAGGACAGGGGAAGCACGGATTTGACAACTAATAACGTTTTTAGACACAGCCCTATTGTGTTGGAATGAATGCTCTTATCTATCTTGTGTACTGTAATGTGTATTTTTGTCTTTGGGACAGTGCGTATAGGAACGGAACTGCAGAGGCGGAGGTGGTCTCACAGTGAACTCGGGCAGCGTGTCGGCACCCTCGCGTTTCCTTCCGCCGTTGGGGGGTCCCGGGAAGGGCTGTTGAGGTGGCGGCTCGCAGTACAGGTGGTTCCTGGTCAGGGTCTTCACGGCACACACCCCCTCCCCCACCAGCACCACCACCTCCTCTTTAGAGATGGCCAGGTCCAAGTTCTCACCCTGGGGGACGGGGACGGGGGGGACGGACGGACGGACGGACATAGAAAGACATAAGCGGAGTATGAGATGAGAGGGAGGAGAGGGAGAACTAGAGAGAGGGAGAGAATATATTACCACACTGAGCATCATGCTTGAATCAAAACGTCTGCATTCCTTGCCTTTTCTTTGGAACATTCCTCTTTTTTCCCAACGTGCAGGTCTATCTCACATGGGAGTCTAGCCTTCTACTAAATTCCAGACAGGGGGATAGAATGAAAGCGTTTCATTTCCGACTGCAACTTTCGGCTGCAAGGCCTTCCAGTTGAGTGGAAAGTCTTGCAGTAAAAAATTAAAAATAAAACATACTTTCCATTCTATCCCCTTGCCTTGGCTTTATAGTAGTAGTTAGCGGGTAATGCTAACCTCCAGCTGTCAACTGTACATGCTGTTAGATTGAAGCTGGCTAGCCTCCAGCAGCTTATTTAACAAGTTGAGAGAGTAGCAGCTAGTGGCTAATGCTAACCTCCAGCTGAATAAAGCTTCCTGGGTTGTAGCGGTAGGGCTTGAGGGGCTCCTGCTGGTTGAGCGGGTGCAGCACGGGGTTAGGCTCGTAGCTGAAGGCCCCCTGGGGGCTGACGGCGCCAAACGGGAAGTGCAGGTTGTCCAGGAGGAAGGCCACATCCACCCGCGAGCCCCACACAGAAGACTCCACTGCCGGGCTCCGGCACAGGATCAGAATGGACGAGTTGACCTCGCAACGCTCCATGTACTGGTGGGGGAGATAGAGAAAAGGGGGAGGGGTAAATCAAGCCATCAATCAACTGTATTTATAAAGCACTTTTTACATCAGCAGTTGTCACAAAGTACTATTCAATAACCCAAGATGGAGGGCAGTGGGGGAGAAAGAGATGGAGAGGTGAGGGAGGGGAGAGGTGAGGGAGAGGAAGAGGTGAGGGAGGGAGGGGAAGAGGTGAGGGAGGGAGAAAGAGAGTAAGGAATTTCATTGAGTACGAAAAAAGTATGAAATGTATGCACTCACTACTGTAAGTCGCTCTGGATAAAAGCGTCTGGTAAATGACTAAAAAGTAAAATGTAAAATTTTTGTAATGAAAGCCTGAGACATAGTCACAATATTATTTCTTAGAATAGACTTTCATCTCCGAAATACAGGAGAAAGATGAATGACATCTTTACAGTCTGTCCACCCTCTCTCACGCACGCACTCTCCCTATCCACACACCTGTATGATGGAGCAGACGGGGTCCCCAGGGCAGTTGGGCTCCGGTATGATCCTGCGATGCCTCCACATCACCTTGTCCTCCGTCTCATGCTCCCTTTCTCCTCCACTCCTCCTCCTCCTCCTCCTCTGGGGGATGGACTCCCAGGGGTACACAGTGACCAACATCCTAGGTTCCTGTACCACATCTAGGTTGTGACCCGACACGAAGACTAGACGGCCACCGCTATACAGAGAGAGGGGAAGAAATGTGTCACAAACCCATAGAAATACAATTACTAGAACGAACAGGTTGTGGCCCAACACAAAGACCAGACACCCACCTCGACACACACAGAGAGGCATGAGATGTGTCACAACACTGGCGTTCTGAAATATACAATTTCTATGTATGAGTGGGGCCAGGGACACTGAATTTAGGCTTAGAAATCCTTCTTTAACCTGTGTCCTCCCCTTAATCTACACTGATTGAAGTGTATTTAACAAGTGACATCAATAAGGGATCATAGATTTCACCTGGATTCACCTGGTCAGTCTATATCATGGAAAGAGCAGGTGTCCTTAATGTTTTGTCCACTCAGTGTACCATTTCTATGTATGAGTGGGGCCAGGGACCAGACAGACACTGCTACACACAGATAAGGAGGACAGTGTGTCATCATAAACATAGAAATTGAACTACTAGAATGGTCATGCCCATTCAAGTTAATGTTCTGTGATGGTCAGACTTGCGGCCATATTGAGTGTCCACACAAGTGTTCCAGTCCAGTGCTGTCAAGTCCACTCAACTTCAGATATTTTTTTTCAAGAAGTTCCCTTAAGCGAAGTTCACTTAAACCAACTTCAGTTCACTTCAAATGACACATCTATAGATCTGTAACGGAGGTCACACACACACCTGAGGAAGCTCTTGGCGGGCGCGGCCTGGGTGATGTTGGGGTTGGGGGTGAAGCGGTAGGCCGACTCGTGAAGGTGGCGCTGGCTGTTGCCATAGCGAAGCGTCACGCGGTGATCGCCTGTCCTGTTGCTGCTGCCCGTCACACACACCACACTGTCCTCCTGGGCCTCTGATAAACTGGGGGGAGCAGACAAGAGGAGGAGAGAAGATGAGGGGGGAGGAGAGAAGAGGAGGGAGGAGGAGGAAGAGGGAGAGTAGAGAACAGGGAAGTACAGCACAGTGAATAGGATAATGTATCTGTGTGTCTCTCTTTATGTGCGTCTGTCTAAAATAATGTGTGTGTTCATGAGTGTGTTTCACAATCACTCACATGACACATGGCACTCCTCCCACGGTGACAGTGATGTCAGAGGAGCGTCCCGTGAGCAGGTTCCTCCCAGTGATGGTCAGGGACGTGCCCCCTGCCTTGGGGCCCCTCTTGGGGGACACCTCCATCACAAACGGGTCCTGGTAGCTGAACCTCTGGCTGGAGAGGCCAAACTCTCCCCCGCTCACTTCTACTGACACCTGACCCGTCTTCTCTCCCCCGCTGGCTTTGGTCTTACACACAATCCTACAGAAGGACATAGCAATCTCACACAGAAGTAGTAATCTCACACACACACGTCAACTCCCCCTACCTAACACAGGGACGCACACCCTCACAGTCCATACCTGGAGGAGACCTCGTAGAGGTGGGGGGTGACAGAGCAGGAAACCCCGGCCACAGTGACAGAGTGCAGGATGTCCTCAGCCTTCTGGCCCAAGTTGGACCCTGAGATGGTCAGCACTGTTCCCCCCTCCACCAGACCAGACAGGGGCTCAATCTAACACAGAAGCATAAAACACATGTTAGAACTGATTCTTTCTCCTCCTCAACAATAAGACTAGAACAGTAATTCCAGAGTTATATCTCTATAAATGACTCTGGTTCATTCCATTAAGTTAAGCCATAAACATTCTAGTGAACATAAACTAAGCGAATTGCATCGTTTTCAACCTAACTGTGTTTAAGTTAGTTTCATAATGACTCTATAATCACATCTGTCACACTTATGTCATTACGACACTATGCAAGTGTTGAGTTTTAAAAAGTGTACTCACGGCATGGATGACGGGGGCGGGGCAGGTCTGTTCGATGGGCTCACTGCAGGAGTCTCCGTAGAGACAGGTGGACTGGTCCCCTCCGCACCACACACAGCCGTACTTCTGGTCCGCCGTGTGACACCGGCTACAGTCAGAACGCCCCACCGAACAGTTGTACAGAGTAACTAGGAGGGACAGAGAGAGAGAGTTATAGAGACTGTGAGAGAGATACCGTGAATTAGAGTTTACATTATGTTGAATGAGTGTAGATTTAAACATTAAGCAACAATAATACAGCCATTAAGAGACAGAGATAGTACAGTCATTGAGAGAGAGAGAGATCTAATACAGTCATTGATAGAGTACAGTCATTGAGAGAGAGAGAGAGAGAGAGAGAGAGAGAGAGAGAGAGAGAGAGAGGGTGATAGATAATACAGTCATTGAGAGAGAGAGAGAGAGAGATAAGTCATTGAGATAGAGAGAGATAATAGTAATTGAGAGAGAGAGAGAGATAATACAGTGATTGTGAGAGAGAGAGAGAGAGAGAGAGAGAGAGAGAGAGAGAGAGAGAGAGAGAGAGAAAGAGAGAGAGAGAGAGAGAGAGAGAGAGAACTTGTACAAAACAGAATGCACTGCGTGTAAACAAGTCACACTCGAGCTACCCGCGTCCTTGGGGAAGGGAGTGAAAACTGAAAACGTGAGAACATTCTCTTGGGACCATTTGCCATATGTCTGATTCAGAAGCATAAAAGAAAACATTTAAAAACAATGTTATGGCCGAGAGCAACAACACAGCTGTCTGGGCTGGCAGCATCTGTTCCCCAGCACTATGGGTCTGGGGCTCACCATACAGGTCGTGAGAGCTGTCCACGTGGAAGGTGTCCCGCCTCTTCACGTACACCATGGCGTTGTACTCATCCACTGGAGCCGAGTAGGAATACTGCGGCGAGAAGTAGAGTTGTTAAAGTTTCCACAGAAACTGAGTGCTAAAGTTTCCACAGAAACTTCAGTTTAGTGCTAACGTTTCCACAGAAACTTCAATTGAGTACTAAAGTTTCCACAGAAACTTCAATTGAGTACTAAAGTTTCCACATAAACTTCAATTGTGTACTAAAGTTTCCACAGAAACTTCAATTGAGTACTAAAGTTTCCACAGAAACTTCAATTGTGTACTAAAGCTTCCACAGAAACTTCAATTGAGTACTTAAGTTTTCACAGAAACTGTCAGTGAGTAGAATGGAATAGTCTGACCTGGTGCAGCTGACAGGTGATGTCAAAGAGAGACGGGTTAATCTCATCCATTTCCACATAGGCGTCTACCACCACCGTCCGCCCCTCGATCACCAACACACATTCGTAGTCCAGGTCTTTGTCCTGCACACACACACATTGAACCAGATTACAACAGAATCAAATACATTGTTTTTCTTTATAGTTCATGAATCTTGCAAATGCAGTTGCCCTCGACCCTAGTGGTGTGTTTGTGTGTGACTGAGTGTTACCTGGTACAGGTGGAGGTTTCGGGCGAGTAGTGTGATCTTCCTCGCCACTCTGACTGGTAACAGAGGCGAACCCCGGACCTTCTCCACACAGGGGCAAGCAGACGAGCCCCAACTCACATAGGAGCCCTCGTCCCCCTACACTCCCCACATACACAGCACTGTTAGATAAATACACGTACACATTCAGAAGGACACACACTCCAACCAACACAAGGTATCGCAATTTTCTGTTTATCTCGTCAACCCATAAACAATTGACTGTTATATATAATAAGGAGGTTCTAAGCTTCTTGATGTAATACTAACTGTTAAAATGGCCTATCAAATAATAAAACGTATGAAAACATTCACGAAAAAACAACTGCTCCAGCTTGTGCTGTCTCAGCCATTTTTTCGGATCGATTTCCAAAAGCAGAAGCAACGTCAAACATGCCAACAACAACAACAAAAGCAAAACACGGTGAGGAATAGCAAGGGGATAAGGGAAGAGCTGGGATTCTGACAATTGGTGATAGAAGTGGGATTCTAGAACTGTGTCCAGTTAAGAGCTGGGAGCACGGTGGCCGTTGAAGCTCTGGACGAATTTCTAACTCACCGGCAGGAAAGCGTCGGATGAGTCATACTGGTAGTCCAGCTCTGAGTTGGCATCCAGGAGCTGGGGGTAGGCCGATGCCGAAAGGAAGAGGTCAGCGGCCTCTCCGTCCCCTGAGAGCACGCTGGCAGCCGAAAACGTGGTGGTGTCGTTCTCCGCCTCCACTTCCTCCCTGGGCCAGAGAAGCACTTCCGGCTCGGCACCCTGGCCCTCGGCATCGGTGGGGGGGAGGTGGTCTAGCGGGAGCGGGGAGGGGGCCTCTGTCAGGTCCAGGTGGAAGGTGAGCTCTGAGTCGGCCGGTTCCCCCAGGGGGAATGGGGTCGGGAGAGGGTAGCTGACAGGTGTGGGCTGGACCTCCATGGGGGGCTCCGCCAGACTCAGAGCCTCGTCCAGTTCCTGAGGGGAGGATGCGGTGACCACTTCCAATGGGGATGTCTCGGGCGGAAACGCCAGGGGGATTAGGGTGGCAAGACCATCGGATGGCTGCCCGTCTTCGGTCATAACCGTCGCCACCTCAGTTTCCGCGGCAAGCTCCACGTCGCCAGGGGTAACCACGGGGCCTACAGTTTCACTTTCAGTTTCAGCCTCTGCAGCGAGCTCTTCTGCGGTTGTTTGCTCTTCTTCCTCACTGGTGGTGGTCTCAGGCATGGGCGGTGTAGCTTCGGCTAACGTTGTAGGGGGAAGAGTGGTGGGGGCCTCGGTCGGCATAGCAGTGGTGGGTGGTGTAGTCGGCTCCGGGGTGGTGATTGTAGGCAGGGTTGTCGTAGGTTCCTGGACGGTAGCTATGGTGTTAGGGGCTTTGGTTGTTGTAGTCGTGGCGATAGTTGTGGTAAATGTAGTTGTTGGGGGTGCTGTTGTTGTTGTAGTTGTTGGGGCCACTGTTGTGGATGGGGAAGTCGTTGTTATAGTAACGGCTTTGGTTGTGGGTGGAGCCGGGGTGGGGAGTTTGAACTGGGTGGTGGAAGGGTGGGAGTGGGGGCGTAAAGGGGGAGAGGGTGAGACAGAAATAAACAAACAAACGACTAAAGAAAACTGATAAAATAAACAAACTCATAAATTGACTGAAAATCAGATGTGAAACATGTATCCTATATGTTTCCAGTATTACCATCAATGATGACAACTCATGCACTTGGTTGGCGACACAGGCAAAATGGAGATGACCATTAGTTATATTGGATGTTTGTTTGTTTTGGGACATGAGGTGCAGTGAGAATAAGTGTCTGGTTATTAATGTCTCCCAACATTCTGTGTTGTCCGCGTTAGAGACGCTTTCACTCAACCATCTACAATGGATTGGCCCCAAACAGCCTAGACTTACCATGCCACTGTACACTAGGGTGCAATAGGTGGACCAAACTCTACAACCAACGATATAGCGAGTGTGGGCAGCATTCCTCTCTTTTCTTCTGTCTTGGCCTCACGTGCAACATGCTTTTTGATCTCTAGCTAACTGACCGTTGTCGCAGTGTGTGTGACTTACGTGTTCGTTATAGATGATAACCCCCTCGTCACAGGCGGGCTTGTGGGTACAGGTGTGCTGGTGGACACACCAGTTGCAGCCCCAGCGACTCAACACGCAACCACGGCAACTAGAGGAGGAGAAATAGAGGGAGGGGGTTAGAAAAAGAGAGAGGGGGCGGGGGGATTGGGATACAAGAGATAGGGAAAGAGAGGAGGGGAGAGAAAGAAAGGGGGAGTGTATTGAAAGAAAGAGAAAGGGTGTTAGAATATAAAATGAAAGAAAGGAGATGAGAGCGAGAGAGAGAGAGAGAGAGAAGAAATGGGAGGAGGGGGAGAGGGAGAGCAAGCTTGGTGCACAGGGTGATCCAATTGCTGGCAATCTAGGGCCAGTGGTAAAAAAGGGGTCATGTAATTGAATCTAGCGGCGGGTTCCTTATTGAAGTGCTCTGAACAAGGTTGAAAAGGAGAAGAGGAGGGTAATTGAGTGAGTGCATGTGCTAACACAATAGAGATGTCGCTGCCCATGCAATCACAGTCTTTTGTGGTTAAGTGTGCCCTCTATGCATCTCTATGGCTAACACAGCCAAATGGATGCAGTTAATAAAGGCATTACTAGACATTATAGCTTGACAAGGCACTCCTATGGCCAGATATTCCACTTCTGACACCATCTGTATCCCATGTATCACTCATTCTAGTTTTGCACCAGTGTAAAGTTTGCAACTGTCACTAGCAATAATACAACATACAGTGGGGGAAAAAAGTATTTAGTCAGCCATCAATTGTGCAAGTTCTCCCACTTAAAAAGATGAGAGAGGCCTTTAATTTTCATCATAGGTACACGTCAACTATGACAGACAAAATGAGATTTTTTTTCTCCAGAAAATCCCATTGTAGGATTTTTTTATGAATTTATTTGCAAATTATGGTGGAAAATAAGTATTTGGTCACCTACAAACAAGCATGATTTCTGGCTCTCACAGACCTGTAACTTCTTCTTTAAGAGGCTCCTCTGTCCTCCACTCGTTACCTGCATTAATGGCACCTGTTTGAACTTGTTATCAGTATAACATACACCTGTACACAACCTCAAACAGTCACACTCCAAACTCCACTATGGCCAAGACCAAAGAGCTGTCAAAGGACACCAGAAACAAAATTGTAGACCTGCACCAGGCTGGGAAGACTGAATCTGCAATAGGTAAGCAGCTTGGTTTGAAGAAATCAACCGTGGGAGCAATTATTAGGAAATGGAAGACATACAAGACCACTGATAATCTCCCTCGATCTGGGGCTCCACGCAAGATCTCACCCCGTGGGGTCAAAATGATCACAAGAACGGTGAGCAAAAATCCCAGAACCACACGGGGGGACCTAGTGAAGGCCTGCAGAGAGCTGGGACCTAAGTAACAAAGCCTACCATCAGTAACACACTATGCCGCCAGGGACTCAAATCCTGCAGTGCAAGACATGTCCCCCTGCTTAAGCCAGTACATGTCCAGGCCCGTCTGAAGTTTGCTAGAGTGCATTTGGATGATCCAGAAGAGGATTGGGAGAATGTCATATGGTCAGATGAAACCAAAATATAACATTTTGATAAAAACTCAACTCGTCGTGTTTGGAGGACAAAGAATGCTGAGTTGCATCCAAAGAACACCATACCTACTGTGAAGCATGGGGGTAGAAACATCATGCTTTGGGGCTGTTTTTCTGCAAAGGGACCAGGACGACTGATCCGTGTAAAGGAAAGAATGAATGGGGCCATGTATCGTGAGATTTTGAGTGAAAACCTCCTTTCATCAGCAAGGGCATTGAAGATGAAACGTGGCTGGGTCTTTCAGCATGACAATGATCCCAAACACAGACCCCGCCCGGGCAACGAAGGAGTGGCTTCGTAGAAGCTTTCAAGGCCTGGAGGGCCTAGCCTCCCAATCTCAACCCCCTAAAAATCTTTTGGGGGGAGTTAAAATC